TTTAATAAACATTTATGTTAAACCACTGGAGTTGCATGGAGTACTTTAATGATGTACTTTTGTCTGGGGCTTGAAAGTGGTAGTTGTGTAGATTGTCAATGGAGGGACAGGAAGCTCTCCGATTTCATTAAAAATATGTTTGTTTGTGTTGTGAACATGAAAAAGTCTCACTTGTTTGGAAAGACATGAGGGTGAGTAATTAATAACAGAATTTCCATTTGTGGGTGAACTAACACTTTAAGAAAAAATAAAGACACGCACCTTAAGAAATCTCACTAAATTGTCAGCCGTCGGATTCCGGAAGGATCGGTGTTCCCGTCTTGTGGCTTTGTATGTTGGGGGCAGGTGATGGGCAGAGATTTTCCAATCAGTTGAGTCTAAAATTAAACAGCAAGAAAACATCTTGTCAAATCATGAAAACCATTGGTTCGAAATCTTATTTTAAGTATATATATATATATATATATATATATATATATATATATATATACTAGATTTACTTTTGTAAATGAATTTGACTGGACAAATTCAAAATGAGTGTTATAAAACAAAGAAAATCTAGCTATACCAAATAACAACCAAGCTATGATTATTTTTTGTTTGTGCCCATGATTCTCTCATATGTTTACTTATCTGTTCTCTTTCCATCACCAGGTTCTAGTCTGTACAGTCTTTAAACACCAAGCCTGGTACCCTTAGTCACTTCATAGAAATCATAGTGCATCATAGAAATGCTCCTAGCAAACACAAATTGTAAAAATCAATACATTTAAACATTAAAGCATCTCCAAATATCAACCAAAAGTTAATCTGATAAATACATTTTGCATCAATATTTAATTTGAAATAATTGCAATTTGCTTACCCATTCTAAAAAGATTGGTCCTCCAAATAAGGAAATAAAGTGCAAATTCCACGTGCATTGTTGGTCCGCAGTTTGTGGAGTTGTTCTTCTGTTTTATACGTTAACGTTAGGTCTGCTGGCAGACGAGAGTAAAAGATAGTTTTAGGATAAATCCTTTATGATATTTGCACATCACACATATCGTCATAAACAATATAATATTATAAAACACGTATAGTAAATGAGTTAAACACTTACTTAATCGGTGTTTTTATTGTTAAAAGCAAACTCCGTGTCTGCACTTTGCACTGCTTTTTGAAATGCGTCACGAGCAGGTCACGAGTCAAAGAAGATGCAGGACCTAGACTGTGAGAGGTTTAGGCGCGCACATCACATAAATATCGTTACAAAACAATATAATGCCATGAAATTCATGTGGTAAATTATGTTAAAAACACTTACTTTAGGTGTTTCCCTGTTAACGTTAGCTACAAGCCTCCTCCTCGTCAGCTCCGTGTTTCAAAGATGATGTCGTCTTTGAAAAGAATTTCGACCGTTTAATCGCGCAGAACATTTAAATATCGCTTTGAATCAATGTGTTATAAAATATATTGGCTATGTGAATTAGAAAACACTTACTTTCGTTGTTTCCCTGTTAAAAAGCAAACCCATCCTGGTCTGCTCCGCATCGCGCGTCATAGAAAATACCCCTTCTGAGAGCGGTTTGCTCGTCCACAGCACATACATATTGTTATAAAACAATATGGTGTTATAAAATGAATATATAAATGCGATTTAACGCATAATAAATGCGTGTTTCCTCCTCGCATGTCTTGCGACTCGAGTCAAAGAAAATGGCGCCTGTGAAGAAAGTTTCAACTCGTTTCGTCCCGCCCAGCGCGTAAATGTCCCGGATGTGACTAGTAACACTCTCGGTGTTCTCAAAGCATCTCTGGTGTATAACTCCACATATTTTCACCAGCCAGAGAGTGTGGTTTACACTAGCAGTGTTAATCCCTTGAAATTCAACACCAGAAAATTAACACTTTACTCTAAAAGTCCTTAACACCAGGATTTCAACACTGGAGATTTTACTGTGCAGTTGCGCGCAAGAAAGTCAGCAATCATTGGACATTTCAATCAAACAACAATTTAAAGAAATATTAACATACAGTAATAATCATGACATATTTTGAATGGGACTCGAGTGGACTCGGGAATAAGTCCGAGTCCCGACTCCCAATATGTTCGAGTACGAGTCAATTCCGAGTCAAAATGCACACGAGTCCATGACAAGACCGAGTCCATTAAAATATGGTCTCGAGACCGAGTCCGAGTCTCGAGTGCACAACGCTGTCAGGAAGCAAATGGGCAGCTACTACATCAGTGGCACAGGCCGAAAGCGTGCTGAATTTGAAGGACATCATTGGGAACCCGTGACTGGATATTGAGATATTGACTTGGGAACAACCACTTCTAGCAATGGGTGAAAGCAGACCCAAGGCAGAGGATGAGCACGATCCAAGCATAAGCATGATAAGCAAGATCCCAGGTCCGACACCTGGAAGAATTCGGTGAAGGTCAAGGGCTGTGGAACTTATATCACAAGGAGCTTGGACAAAATGGGACCTAGCAAAGCAGAAAATCAGGTCTGAACTTTTAAGACTAGAGCTCTTTCGCATCTCTTTCCTTCTCCGATCAGTGTACGACACTCTTCCAACGCCAACAAACATGCACAGGTGGGGAATGAGGGAGGACTCACTGTGCAAGTTATGTGGAGGAAGAGGTACGTTGGTGCACATATTGGCGGGGTACAAGACTGCACTTAGCCAGGGGAGATATAGATGGCGTCATTAGAAGGTCCTCAGAGTACTTGCTGACATCTTGAGAGACAGAAGAAGAACAAGAAGAGCCTCCTGCAGGCGGCACAATCTTGGGAGATAAGGGGAACTTGGGAAGGATACTACACCCTCCCCAGGTTGTCCAAACGTCCTGAGGCCTGATATGGTCATATAGTCTGAGTAGGTGAAGAGGGTCACCCTGATGGTACCGTGGGAAGACAGATAAGTACCAGGATCTGGTCCAACAATCCAAGGGCAAAGGTGGCAGGTATGGCTATTTCCAGTTGAGGATGACTGCAGGAGTTTCCCGGCACGGTCTGTGTGGAAGATGTTTACAGCCCTGGGAATAGCGGGAAGGGAGAAGACAGCTGCTCGCAGGTTGGGGGAGGTAGCGGAAAGACCCTCTTTTTGGCTCTAGAGCAGGCGGGAGGAGTTAAGCTGGAAGCCAGGAAAAGATAAACAGTGACTGGTCATCACTGCCGACCAGTCAACTGGAGGATGTTGAGGTTCAGGATGAGTACACTGAAAGGTTTTGTCAGTCATCTGCAGTATACAGTGGAACACCCCAGAGAAGGTGCTAGATGGTAAGGGACCACTGGTCCGCATGTGGTTTGATCAGACTATAGAAATGCATAGTCCTTCATATACATGGTCTAATGACACTACAGTATGCAAACTAACTTGGGAAAACTGGCCACTTGGGAAAAAGACAATTTTCCTAATGATTGCAGCAGTATTCTTTAACATAAACACAGAGGGGAAAAATTTAAGTGCCCTAAAAAGGTGGCAGGATGCTTATTCATAAGCTTTAAAGCAAAAGCAGTAGTTTTATCCCCACCTTACTTGTCCAAATGTCAAATTATTTAAGACTATGTTAAGAAAAAAAACTATGATCACCATATTTCATTTAATACGGTTAGATGTAAAACCACTATTCAATCAACAGACGAATGTAAAAGAAGTAGTCCATGCATGAAGACTGCTGGTCTGCTGTTTCTTTGTTTTCTTGTGTTACAGGTATGTGTAAATGCCATGATGTCTTCATAACTAGCACCCTGGTTTACCCTAGAGCATAATCTCAGACATCCACAAAAGAGCTTCATGAGGACAAAGAGTCCGTGCTCTTTCTGTTTTTCTGAACCAGCGTGACTTGGACTATATGAAACAGATTAAACCAAACAGTCCATGATTAGTCATGCTTCATGGACTTGTAGTGCTCTGCTACATGGTTTTCTGTGTCAACATGTAGTTTTATACAACATGTTACCACTGTCACATGCCTGTCCTGTCTTGTGTTTTGTTATTTTGGCCCATGTGCTCTTGTCATTGTCTGAGCCTCCCCCTTGTTACCTGATTATTGTTTGAGTTCTCCCACATGTCCCCTCTTGATTTGTTCCCTTTTTAAGTCTCCTCTTGTTTGCAGTTGCACTGTCTTGAACTAAAAACGGAAACCGGTGTATGCGTTAAGGCCGTTCATTAATGACGTTTTAGGGGGCTGAAAACAGGTTTCAAAATGCAAGTTGTTGAAAACGATAGGTCTTGTCTCCGTGTAAATTACAAAAACGCATTTTTATTTCTTTAATAATCCTTCTCTGCAGCTGGATCCTATTTCCCTCGCTTCTGAGTTTTACGCAACAGGAAATTTGATGGAAATGCACAGCTATCATCCTAAGCCATGCTGGCTCTGATATGAGCCGCTTTTACTGTATAATCACAAACATGCATGCACAGACACGCAACACCTGTCATTCACATTCCTTCTGCACCCTCTTTATTTACTGGCTCGGTAATATGCAATTAATCATTTGAAACCACAAAGAGCATCAGACATGTTCACACAGACATAGATCATGAAGTTATTTTAATTACCTCTAGAGAAGCAGTTATTTCCTTTGACTACTTGCCCATTTATTTGTGAATGTGTAGGCTATACAAGTGGGTTGTATATCTGCCGTGTTGCCATGGATATCTGTCGATCTTTTTTAATGCATAATAATTTAACATTAGTAGAAATCATGTGTAAATCAGTGTAAATTTGTGGCTGTTTCACCTGTTTCTCAACTTTTTGTTATGAGTTATAGATGCCTTAAATGGTTTATCCTGATTCTAACAGGAAAGTTTATTTGAAATGCTGTGCTAAATTCTTTACTTTTTAGTATTAAAAACGAATCAATGATTGTTTATAAAAATATATTTAAATGGATAGTTTGTTGTGTTATTCTGATTTAGGTTATTTTGAAAATCTTTTAGCGATAAAATTACGCTAAAGTGGTTCTTCACCTTATGCTGTTCTTCACCTCGGGGAACAGCAACCCGCACAAACAATGAACAGTCTTTCATCACAAAACCAAAATATATTGGAGCTCGCAGGAGAATAAACCACAACACAAATCAAAGACAAGAACCTAAGTGAGTTTACATCTCACAATTCTGACCTTTTTACATAATCTGATTAAAAGTCTGAATTGTGAGATAAAAAGTCGCAATTTACCTTTTAAATGTTTTGACGGAAAAAAGCTTCCTAGATTTTTTTTTGCTTGAGTTTGAGCTTTAGCCTATATAAAATGTATGTAGATGTTGAGAGTTTAGAATCACTTTCTGAATATGACCAGTAGGCTACACGTTCCTCACAACTGGACAAAAGACATGTAGTCTAAGTCTTTTCATTCAGTCTGGACTGAACATCAATTTTGAATGATATTCTTATTCAATCAAACAAAAACACTGTAACAAATGACAACTTGCAGTTGTCCCCTTTCTAACCCTATACTCATTTTTTTGTATAAATGTATTTAGGTTTATTCAGTTATGTTAAAGCTACACCGTGTAACTCTTTTAGTTTATTCTTAGCTAAAAACACTTAGTTCTTTCAAAAATATATGTGCTCATTAATGTATATTTACTTCGTTCAAGTAATAAAGTATTCTCAATATGCCATTGAAAATACATACGGGTAAGAGGTTCTAATGTCGGTCTCCATGTTGCCCCTCCATCTTGAAAGTACATTAGCCAAAGAGGGACATACCCATTAATTCAAGCTTCGCCTTTCGCGTTTACGTTTGTGTTAACACTCATGGACGAAGTCGAACTGGAAGCCATGTTAATCTTGGACTACATTGGCCACCGTAGGAGTTAAAACGAAATCGGAATTGAGAGGAACAGAAACTAATATAGTGAATCATATGGTCACTATATACCTTTCACCGCTAGATGGGGGTAAAAATCACACAGTGTAGCTTTAAAAAATATTTTGCCTTGAATAAAATGAGTTCATTTAGATGTTACCATTACTTTGTTAAGCCAAGTCCTGAGCTAAGTTCTGTCTGTAAGAATCAGGGCTAGTCAACGCTACACAATCCTTGGTCAACTTTTCTTTTCTAACCAGTTTCCAGCTCTTTCCTGATTCTCACACATGTCCTGCATGTGGTTTTTGTAAGAAACTTTTCTTTCCTTGTAGAAAAGTTAGCAACTCAGGAGACTTTTGAGGTATCTTTCACACAGAAGTTCTTTATTGCGTCGCTGTAGTCATCTCAAGGATAGTCTGACTAAGGGAAAACATTCCCTTACAATTTATGCATTTAGAGGGGAGGAGTTTACATTGAGGGGCGGAGAAACTGAAACAAAAGCAAATGTATATGATTCAACAGGCACCCCAGTTCATCAGCATAGCAGTTTTCTGTGCCTTGAAATGCTAATCTGGAGGAGTTAAATTGAGGAGGAGTCTCTTGAAACAAAGCAAATGTAAATGATTCAGCAGATTACCGGAGACGCTAATCTGACCAGCGTGGTCACACTTTTACCATTACAAAAGCAAAGCTGAATCTTGAACTTAATGGCCAGGAAGCGCATAAAGACAAAAGCTAATGTGTGACACGTGTAATGCTTGGCTTAATCTTATTGGCCTCAAAATGGTAAACACTGTATAGATTTTTCAGTTGAAAATACTGTTAAACCTTTATGAAACATTTAATAAATTTGTATTCCTTCAGTTTCGTAACCCGAATTGCATCAGCGATTTGTAATCTCAGCTGGGCTGGCCTTTGTGAGTGATCTTCTATAAATCCATGCCTTTGTGACTTTAGTCTTCCTTTCCCTAACATGCATTTCACATTCCACTGTCACTTCGGTAATTTGGCTCACCACACCAGTGATACATTTTTCAGCAGTTTTTGTTTGGCATGCTGGTGCTTGCAGAGCCTTTCCTGAAAGTTCCCAGTACCACCCAAATAATTGTCTCAACAATGAAGCCAAGTTTCTGTAATTCATTTCTTTGATAGAACGTTTCATTCTGTTTAGTTTATGGCCTGTGCTGATATGCTTCTCCCTGAGCCTTTGCTTCTTTCAAGCACATTAATGTATGTTGCACCCTTTAATTTCCCTAACCTCAAAATTACCTGAGGAAGAAATGCAATATTCAATATTTTATTATGTTTAAGCTCAACCACTATTGTTCCACACTTCCCTTTATCTACATCAAAGTCAAAGCCAGTTTCTTTTAGAATTAACTTCAAAATGTTGATGTTTGTTTTTAAATCACTACATGGCCTTGCTCCTAGGTACATGACGGAACTGATTAGGCATTATGCTCCGTCTAGAGCGCTTAGGTCTGCTGACCATTTGCTTTTAGTAGTCCCACGTGTGAAACTAAAATCTAGGGGTGAAAGAGCATTTTCAGTGGCAGGACCGAAGTTGTGGAATAGGTTGCCCTTGTACATCAGGCAGTCCCAAACCATTACTATTTTTAAATCTAATCTTAAAACGTATTATTACAGTTTGGCATTTGACGCTGTGTGAGAGTTTGTTTTATTTTCTTATTATTTTATTGTGTTACTGTCTTTTATTTCTTGTATGTTGGTTTGGTCCTTGTCGTATAAGTATGTAGATGTGTACAGCACTTTGGTAAACACTTGTTGTTTTTGAAAAAGTGCTATATAAATAAACTTTGACTTTATCTACATCATAAAAATAAATCTTTCCTCCTCACACAGAACCTGCGGTCTTGTGCTTGTCGTCTGGGAAAAGTAAACTCTGTTAGTCTTCTAATCTATTTTTTTTTTTCTTCCAGTTTAAGGCACCAAACCCCTTTCCCAGAAGAGTTGCCATGCAACATTTTCCTGCTCTAAACGAGTGCATTCCCGCACGTCACCGCGTGCAGTTTTCTGTGTGTTGTTTCAGTTGATTGTTATGGAGCTTGACAGTGTATGTTGGCTCTGGTCAATATGGTGGTGTTATTTTATCATTGCAGTCAGTATTCATCACATCATGCGCAATCAGTCGGGAAGTTGGGTCTGCTGAAGAGAATCACTGATTCACTTTGGGCTTTTTTTTATTATGCAGCCTCATTTTTGGCAAACTGCATTGCAAGTTCAGAGAGTTCAGCAGTTTCCCTTGAAAGACTTTTAGTAAAAGTAATGTAAGAAAAGATTTAGCAGTTACAGCAATTACAGGGCCAAGCACAGTGGATGAAACGTCATAACTTTAGCACAATCCAATTCATTCAGAGAACAGTTAAACAATTGTACTCCTCAGAATATAAGACTAGTATCCATCCAATACTTTAAAAAAAAAAAATTGGACAGAGAAAAAAAAATGCTGGACATTTTTAAATACACTATTGTTAAATGTTTGGTTCAGTATAATGTTTTTGGGTACAGAAAATTGTGAAATTAATAATAGCTGTTTTCTCTCAAAATGTAATTTATTCCTGTGATGGTAAAGATATTTTCAGCATCATTATTCCAGTCTTCAGTGTCATAATATGATAATTCAGAAATCATTCTAAAATGCTGATTTACTGCTCAAGAAACATTTATTATTATTATCAATGTTGAAAACAGTTATGCTGGTTAATATTTTGTTGACACTGATGCATTTTTTCTGTATTTGTTACTGTTCTGATTAATAGAAAGTTCACAACAGCATTTATTTGAAACAGAAATCTTTTATAAAATTATAAATGTCACTAAAAGTATAAAAATAATATTTTCTTGAAAACTGGACTCCAAGTAAAATATAAATATATATTTGTTATTTTGTTTTAGTTTGGTCTGGTTTGAAAGGCAGTGTATATATTTCTACACTGTAAAAAAAATATGTTCATGATTTGTAATCACAACATTTTTTTTCTTTTGTTAAATTAACTTAAATAATTAATGTGGTTCAGATAACTTAATATTTTGAGTTTCTGATGATTCAATCAATCTCCTTCATTGTATTAACTCAATTTTTCCAATTCAATGAACTTAAAATTTTAAGGCAACCAAGTTACTTCATTTTCTTAAGTTAAACCAACAATATTTTTTACAGTATATGCATATCTGTAGAAATCAAATTTTCATTGTGTAAGAATAATTGCCAAAAAAGGGACACAAAACATATTAACACTAATTTTTTTTTATTCAAGAAATGGCCAATACTGTCAACAGTTTACTGCCATTTGAAATGTGAATGCTAAAAAAAACTCTACATTTAACATATAAAAAAAATCCGCACTTGTAACACAAAAGCATCTGAGAACACCACCTTGTGATATTTTTTTTTCAAGTATGTGTAAAAAGAACAATAAAATGCTTGTAGCATGTCAACAACAATGTGAAAAATCAGCAATAAATACATCATTGAAATAAATTATTAATATAAATAAATTAACAAATAAATATCAATTTAAAATATAACGTAGAACTTCGAAATCTTTTAGAGCTCTGAACTCCGCTCGTTCAAGACAATCGTTGGATTAATATTATTTTGTGTGGAGTGCACTGAGCTTGAATTGATGTTTTCAGAACTCTGAAATTTCACATCAGGCACCTGAAAGGACACCATCGGACAGGGTCCGTTGATATTCAAGCACACCAGCTTCTTGAGTGAGGCTGTGTTAACAATGTCAAATCCAACTTTCCCACCAAATGTGCTGGGCATCCAATATTCAGGAGAACAAATAGCATTTCCCATGAGGCCTTTGAGAGAGTAGGGGGCTCCCATCTCCACAATAGTCTCCCCAAATACAGCGTTGGGTCTAGGTTTCTCCACAAGAAGGCCAGGATACAGCTCAACCGCATCTACATGACCGTACAGCTTCTTCAGTTCGTCTGCCAGCTCCTTGTCTCCTGTTTAGCCATACAAAAAAGTTGCAGTTAAATAAGAGGTGTATTTTTCCTAATATTCTCATTTCTAAATCTTTATAAAAGAATTGGTTTTCCATTTTTGCCATATTTTAGGCCTGTTCAACTATAACTATTGTACACACCAACAGATGATAGCATTCTGTTTTATAAGGGCACCAGCTGTTTTAAAGCAACACTAAGTACGTTTTTTTACCTTAAAATAATGTTTTCAAAATCGTTTCAGTGGTTCATAAAGTTGTGACACGGTGAAATGCACTTATGCCACCGCTTTGCGGTCCTTTATCTGATATATCCACGCTACGTAAGATTGCCAGATCGCGTCGCGTTTCTGTAGTCCGAATGAGACATGGATAAATTGAGAGCATGTGCGTTCGTGCAGGTGCAACAGAAGGATGCAGTAGGCTAAATTATTTACGACAGCAGTAATGGACAATTCCGCTTCCAACCTGTAGGGTGACCGCAGAGGAAAAGTTACTTGGTGTTGCTTTAAATGTGCAAAAAATCGTTCTGAGAGTAATTCCAACGATATAATTCTTCTGTGTAATTATCATTATAGTTGTAGTGTGGACTTCCGTATTCTCGTAGAATGGGCTCTATGCACGGCGATATTTCCGGTGAAGGTGTAAGGATGCTCGATAACTTCCGCCGATCGCAGAGTCCAATGCAATACCGAGAATTTATATTGAATTTTATACTCCATTTTTTTTTCATTTTATTTATTTATTTAGAAAAGGGACCGTGTACATTAATAAACATTCTTAAATGTAAATGTACCCAAATTAGCCCAAAGGCTAGTTTTCATTGGTAGTCCCTTTGCCAGATGTTATTAGGCTCTTAACTAGAAAAAACTCCATGGTTATACTAAAGAAACGTTAGTCACAAAAACAAACTAAACAGACACCTCCCGTTGTGCTTATGCTTCTTTTCTCGGTTTTTCTCGGTTTTCCTCCAATTTAATCTCCCCAACCGGAAACTGAAGAGCATCCTTGTGTCAAATACGGAACTTATGTGTTCATATTATTAAAACTTTTTAGTTACAGTTATCCTCTTTGGTGTGAACGGGCCTTTAGGATTGACACCAGTGATGTTCACGGTTTGTCTTACCTGTCATCTCCTCAAAGGACGAGTAGGGCTTCATGTTGAAGCGTTTCCTGTAGGCATTGAAAGACTGGTAGCGCATCTGTCTTGAATGCTCCAGAGATTTAACAGCAACTCCCTGAACTGAAGCCGGCAGGTTGCGTCCACCAGCCACCTGTTCACGAAAACATGAGATAGATTTCCAAAGACTGTAAAGTGATTTATGCACACTCATGTCATTACGACTTTTTTCTTCGGCAGAACACAAAAGGTATTCTGAATAACTGAATATTTAGCAAGTCCATACTATGAAAGTCAATGGGGTCCAAATCAACACTGAACCTCACTCGCTTTCATTGTATGAAGAAAATAACAATAAAATGTTACAAAATATCTTCTTTTGGATATACAGGTTTTGAACAACATGAGTGTGAAACTCACCCTTCCAGACGTCTGTTTGGTGAAAGACTCCACCATGTTTCGGATGCCGTGTTCGGTCACTATTGAGTTGTTAAACACAAACTGATGGTAGCCGTAAACCTGATCCTGGATCTGAAAGTGGTCGGGCATCAGCGGGTGCCAGTGATACAGAGTGTTGAATTCGGAAGAAATGCGGTTCTGGTACTGGAAGCGTTGATTGAAGAGAAGCTCTGGGTCAAACTTGAGCTTGAAGTTGTAGCCACTCAGATGCTGAACGTAGTCCTCAATCACGATTTTGATGGTCTCACCTGGAAGAAAATAATTAAGGAAATATTTAATCTCTCCACAAAATTGTAAAGATTAGGCATGTTTTAGATGGGGCAATCTTGACTCACCAATCAGGATGAGACGAGTGGTTTGGAAGATTCTTTCGTCATCCCAGTCGGGATGCTCTTGCTTCATGATAACACATACACGGTTGTGTTCACGGAGCCAAATGGTTGCATACATCATCAAACCTGGGACCAGACCGAAGGCCTCATGACCCACAGCAAATTTATGTTCCTCCGGGACATGTGGAGGATAGTGCATCTCCACCTGGACATCTTTCACCAGCGGAGGGTACACCTCACCACCCACAACCTAAGGGTCAAAAAAAAAAAATTCATTAAATACTTTTTTCACATTTAACCAATACTTATATCCATTTAAAAGCTGTAGTTCCCCTTAAGATTTTAATTTGGTTATTATTAACTTTGATTTGAAATTCTCATGTCGTTCCAAACCTGTACTATATGACTGTTTCTTAGGAACTTAAAATATCTTTATTAAAAGTCAATGGGGTCCAATGTTGTTTTGTTTTTTGTCCCTACTGACTTTCATTGTATGGACAAAAACGGTTCTTCAAAATGCCCTCTTTGAATAATATGGGAAAAAAATTGAGAAATTTGAAAATGAAAATGGAAAAATTTGAGGGTGAGTAAATGATGACAGAATTTTCTTGTTTGGGTGAACTATCCCTTTAAGTTCTGTTTCAATGTCAATTTGTATAGCACAAACCTGATACTTTAGCTTCCCATCTTTAAATAGACGAAGTTTGTGTTGTCTCTCCAGTGTCTCTCCATAAATATGCCCCAAGTCCACCTAAAACATTACAGAACCTTTAGAAATTTCATTCAAGAAATTACAGAAATTACATAGTTCCATATACACTTTGGATAGTAGCCTATGTAAAATGTTCTCTCCAAGTAAAATGGTTAATAGCTTTGAGTGCCACTTACTCCATGACCCAAGGCTTTGGTGAAGGCTGGTCCTTTTTTAAAGTCCGTCTTGAAGAACTGATGAGTGAAATGCTGGGCGAAGAAAGCAAACATGAGACTGGACCTCTGTGGATCAGGGATGAACTGTTTCCTCAACAGCACCTTCTCCACCACCTGCTTTGCATTTGGGAGATCCGGCGTAGGGCAGTTCTGGGGCAATGGGGCGAGGGTGCGGGTGTAATAGGACAGGTTTGAATACGCTTCCCAGCTTTTGTAGTTATAATCTGCATTGTACGTCGGTGGACTGTCGACCAAATGGGACCTTGCTGTAAAACAAGAAAAAGGCAATATTACTTTGTGCATTTATTTGTTTATTAAAAACATTCAGTTTTACTAAATCCACTTAAAAAGCAACATCATTCAACTTACATGTCAATACATAGCTCATTATGGCATCTCTCAGGTAAGAAATGTTGTTGATAATGTCCCAGATCCATTTATAATGTGTTAAAATATAATGCACGTTGTCTGGACTTGGTTTTAGAGTTGATCTGATACGTGTGAGAAGCTCAGCTGTGAGGAAAGAAAAAATAATAATTTTGAGTGCACACATTTTCTCTATGTAAATTTTTATCTGTAAATACAATCCATTACCAGACTTACGTGTAGTGCAGTTTTCACCATAATAACCTGTCCTGGTACAGTCACATTCATAAGCATCAGTGCCTTTGGATAAACACACACCCTGGTTTTGGCAAGGCTGTATACAGCAAGGGTCGTCTGCAAGAAAAAAAATCATAACGTAAAAAAAAGAGAAAGAATGTTTCTAGGTTATTGCATTTATTTAGAAAAACTGTGAAAGAAGCAGGCAAACATTGCTAAAGCTGAGTTAACTTACATCCTTCACCGGGAAAGATCCAAAAGCTTGAAAGTACCACCAGGCAAACCAGTCTATTCATTCCAGAGATTTTATCTATTATGTTTACTCCCAAGCAGAGACGCGCACTCTGGAACAGCTCGTGTAAATCTGTGCACCTTGAAGCGAACCTGCGCTTTTTAAGCTGTTTGAGAAGGAAGTTATTGCGCAATTTCCAAGATGACTAGAAAAAAAGGTTTGCAACGTCAAGCCGACTGTATTTTTCCACAAGGCACATTCATCAATGATTTATATTTGGGAAAATGTAGGCCTATTAATTTCTTATCAAAAATAAAAGTGACTTGTTAATGAAGCTATTATATCTTTTGGTAAAAACCGTTGACAAATATAGTTATAAAAATAAAACTAAAATAATTTTCAGATCAGGCAATTCAGGATTTGTTTTAACTGAATGGGCTACTCAAATGTTTACATAGGCCTAATTATTTTCATGGTTGTGTAGGCTACTTCCAAAATAGGCTGAATATGTTTGGGGTAAAGTAACTATTTTATAGACATGGCTTCGGTGGAGAAAAGGAAACATTTCTACGAAAACCATGATCAAAATCAGACGCGACACAAGATGTAGATTGTAACCTACTCCAAATTTGATAATCCACAGTCATTCCTTTCCATCTCATGAGCGCCACCTAGAGCAAATGTCGCTATTCAGTTGTAGTTTTTGCATGGATTCTGAGTGTATTTTTAGGTGTTATGATTGAATTTCTTATTATGAAATAAATATCAAATGAAAACCTAAATATTGGACGTAACGACATTTTACATTTAGCCTACAGTAGGCTAATATGAGGGGGGAAAAAACATAGAAAGACAATATAGAAAGTCTAGCGCTAAAATAGGCATGTGTCCATCAGAGTTGAAATATGAAGAACCGGGGAGGGGGAAGAGTTTGCGTCCGCCCAAAAATGGAACTGATTTTAGCGAATCGATTCGTTTGAATGATTCATTTCTTTGAACCAGTTCAGGTAACCTATTCACCAGTCATTTGAGTCATCATCGATCAAGTGTTCCCATTTGACGTTTTCTTGTTTGTGGTTAATTTTGTTCAATGCTGACATTACTACTGATGATTTCGGTTACGTTTTTGTATTGTTTTTAGCCTATAGTTATTATCACTTGCTACTACTTGTGATGTCCAGTTTGATGCAGTGTGTGAAATGTAAACCCTGTTGGTGGCCCGATAGCCTGTTTTTATACCAGAAAATCCAAATGTGCTATGTTTATGGTTCCAACATTTCACCTACCTCATATTCACCATCACCATAGCTAGGATAAATTCGACCATTCTCAGTCGAATGATTCAAAATGCTGTGCGAAACGGTTCGATCGAATCAATGAACAGTCTAAACTGAACGATTCATATTCATGACATGTCTTTAGTCCGCCCAGTGTAGAGTACTCCTCCTGGCTTCCTGAATTGAATTTCTTGTCGGAGAGGGTCCAACATCACTCTACCACCAGTTATGGTAAGTAATTGGACGTTTAATTTCTCTGTAAAGTCGTAAAAAGTATCCACGCGTCTAAATGACTTAGCAACAAAATCCTGCTTCAACAGTTTCTATCATACGTTCCTCTGAACTGAGAGCGAACTTTTGGCTCTCAAGACGTTGAACACTGTGTTATTCGACAAGTATCATGTTTCAACCTCTTGTGCGTTTTTTCTTTCTCTTTTTTATTGTCTAACTTGACAGTTGTTTTCCGGACTGTCCTGAAAGAAAGTGCCTTCTCGACCTCCTAATTGCTGTCAGAATGTCATCCATAGACCCATACCAGTACATCATAGTAAGTTACACTTTAACTTTAAAGCATATGTCAATGAGAAACGTTTAGCTTTTGCTTTTGTGTGTGTGTTTTTTTTTTTTTTTTTTTTTTTTAGAAAGTTGAGCTTGTTTAATTAACATGAATGTATAACAGAGGCGTCAGGATTCATTGGTCCCTAATGTTAATATTTATGGTAACACTAAGGTTCATTAGTTAACATTAGTTAACTACCTAGTTGACATGAACTAAGAATGAACAATACTTATACAGCATTAATTAATTTAAGTTAATATTAATTTCAACATGTATACATTAACATTTACCAATACATAAAAATCGAAGGTTGTATTTGTTCACATTAGTTAATGCACCATAAATAAACAATGAACAGCTGGATTTTTATTAACTAACTTTAACAAAGATTAATAAATACTGTAACATATGTATTGCTCATTGTTAGTACATTAACTAATGTTAACTAATTAACCTTAAAGTGGTACCACATTTATTTATGTCATGATTTATTTGTGTTTTTTATCAATGTGCTTTACCTTTTTGAGACTCTAAGAAAGTTAGAAAACTGTAGTAAAGCTTCAGTGGTTGGATTCATTTGCATGTGACAACATGCTGAAATTATGTCATTAGAGACATACTGTATCTTCTGCTTAGCCACAATTCTGTTTGGGAATAACCTGTTGTCTATTTCCTACTTCAGTAGTTAAATGAGCTTCCTTTATAGCCTTCATAGATGCCTTTGCCACTCTAAATCCCTAATTGTGGATCTTTCAAATGTGCAGGTTGAGCATCAGTATTCTCATAGATTGAAAGTGATTGTGGTGAGAGCTGAAAATGTGACTAAAGGAGCATTTGGTGATTTATGTGAGTATATTTTTGTGCAGTCTTCTTGCTATTTGAAGAAACCCTCAAAGGAGCATTCATACTTGAGTGATTGTGCGTTTGTTCACAGTGGACACCCCGGACCCTTACGTGGAACTGTCAATTCCAACCACACCAGAGTCAAGGAAACGAACACGGCACATAAATAATGACATTAACCCGAAGTGGAACGAAACTTTTGACTTTGTATTGGATCCCAATCTACCCAATGTTTTGGAGGTGAAAAAATCATACTCTAAATTACTTCATGTGTATACAGTACTGCGCAAAAGTCTTAGGCACGTTAGTATTTTCTCTCTAAAAAAGTTTTGTATATCTTTTCCTGTAGTGTGTCAGCAGGAAATATCACTTTACATTTCCAAACATTCATTTTTACCATTCATTGTAATGGCATCTGGTAATTAAAAAAACTGACACAGACTAAATCCAGAAAAAAAAAAAACTGAGACAGACTAAATCCAGAAGAACTGTGGCAATATTTCCGTTTCTTCATGTAATCACAGATTGACTCGATGATGGTGAGATCAGATTTACGTGTAGAGCATACCGGCTGTTGTCAGAATGATCTATTTGCTGCAGTATCAGTACTAAGATTCATGCCTTATAACAATAAACAATGTCAAAACCAAAGTCCATTAGAGGAGGACTGGAGGGGGCTTAGGGTGTGGTTGTTGGGCAAGAACACAGGACAGGCAGGGCCTGGGCTGAAACGAAGGTGGAAGGAGCCAGGGTGGAATACCCAGCAGGTAGGCCAGAACACAGGCCCATGGCGGAGTCGAGGGAGGGACGAGCCATGGTAGAGGCCTAGATGCTGGGACCAGGGGACGACTGACTGAGATGGAGCTGCTGGCTGTGGAGACATAGGTGAAGATGATGAACAGAAGGGACCGGGTGATACAAAAGTCCTTCAGGGAAGGGTGGAGACGCAACCAAGGTGGAGCCAGGATGTCAGAGAACTGAGACCAAGGCAGAGTGACTGAGGACCACCAGCAAGGCTGAGCTGGAAGGAAGGAGAAGCCGAAGGGGTGGAGAGACGAAGTGCAGCAGAAGTCCATGAAACAGGAAGAGTTATGAATTATTAAGGCAGAGCTGGAGAGACAAGGATGCTGAGTGGAGTCATAGGGATTCAACGGTCCCAGGTGGAGCCGAGGTGGACTGCTCGACAGACCGAGCTGGAGTTACGGGCCTGGAGTTTCTAGGCGGAAAGATGCAGAAGCTTCTTGTTATCAAGATGCAGAAGCCACTTGATGTAAACCCGCCTGACTGGCTTCACATTGCATGTTAATGCCAAGTGTAAATGCAGCCTAAATTATCAATGGGTGTAACGGATTACCAGATCAATAAAAAACAATAGCAACTAACTGAAAACTAGGTCAATACTACAGTAAAACACATACCAAGCCCAGACAATCCCTATATATATATATGAAGAGTTCAGATGCAAAAGCCTCTAAGTGCCATTTGAAATTTTCTTCTAGAATGATCATTTTTATCAAGCTTGTATATTTAATTTCATTGATTTCACTTAAATGGCAATGATAATTACCTATTAATTGTTATTTAAGTGAAATTACTGAACTTAAATATACAAGTTTGATAAAAAAAAAAAACATCGTTAAAGAAGAAAATTTAAAATGGCATTTAGAGGCTTTTGCATCTGAACTCTTCATATATATATAAAAATATATACACATTAGTGATGTAACGGTTTACAGAATTTCAGAACGTACCTCAGTTTTGAGATCGGTTCATAACGAGTTTGTTACACTCACATGTCAGTTGTTGTGTTTTATAGATTAAAACGTAACAGAGTTATATTTGTGAAAGGTGTTGCATTAAAAGTTTGCCTATGCTGTTGTTGGCATGTAGAGTACTGTAAAGGTGTTGTATTGCAGTTTAGAAGTATTAGAAAATGCATCAGCACTACTGTATGTTATAATACTGTTTGAATGCTGTTTTTTTAGATGACACTGATGGATGCTAATTATGTAATGGATGAAACTCTGGGCACAGCTAAATATTCCCTTACAAAGCTCAAAGTGGGACAGACAGAGCAAGTGGCCCTCTCTATCGGCAAGGTAAAAGCTCATTTTGGTTTACACCTTGAGCCTGTTGTGAATTAACTTAAACTTCATGGTTACTAATTTTAAGTGTCTTGTTGTTTACTATTATTCTCTGATTCTTGCTAGACGACCAAAGTGTTCCTTGACTTGTCCTTAGAAGTGTGGTATGTATAAAGAAATTTTTACTTCTGCGCATAGTGGCTATTTGAGTTCCCTTTTGTGGACCATTTTTGGTGGTTCATATTGATTTTGTTTTGTTGGTTTATCAAATAAGAATGAATGAGGCACTGAAAGTGAGTCATGTTTTTACAGTTCGTCCACAGACTTGCGCTTCAGCATGGCACTGTGTGATCAGGAGAAGCTTTTTATGAAGACGCGCAGAGACAGAGTTATGCTCAGCATCAAGAAGCTTCTCAAAATGGAGAACCCACGCTTCCTTCCAGCCTCACCAAGAGAGGTAAAGTCAAAAACCACACAAACTGCCTTATGAACCATGCTATACTAAAAAAAGGATTGTGTGGCTAGTGTTAGAGATCCTGTTTGATTTCAGTTCTATGTGTGCTCAGGTTCCTACTATCGCCATTGTGGGCTCTGGAGGGGGTTTCCGTGCGATGGTGGGCTTCTCTGGTGTGATGAAGGCTCTGTATGAATCGGGGGTGCTTGACTGTGCAACATATATGGCAGGACTTTCTGGGTCAACGTGGTCAGTAAAAGCAGAATATTCAGATATTTAAAGGAGTAGTTCACTTTTGAAAAAACTTTTGCTGATAATTTACTCACCCCCATATCATCCAAGATATCCATGTCTTTCTTTCTTCAGTTGAAAAGAAATTAAGGTTTTTGATGAAAACATTCCAGGATTTTCTCCATATAATGCCCTTTACTGGTAATCAAACAGTTCAAGGTCCAAAAGACAGTTTCAGTGCAAACTGCAAACTGTTCAAAGGGCTTTAAACGATTCCAGACGATGAATAAGGGTCTTATCAAGCGAAACGATCGCTCATTTTTTTTTTTTTTAAATAACAAAGTTTAAGTTTTATAAGCTCAAATGGTCGCCTAGCTCTGTTCTGTGATGCGTGTTCGTGACTCTCCTGTTCGAACTCGTTTGTCAAAATGAACAAATATTTTTCGGAGTCAATTCGTTCATTTTGTTTGTTGAATGAACCAAATGACACGAAAAAGATTCGTTCATTTTGATAAACGAGTTCGAACAGGAGAGTCACGAATGCGCATCACAGAAAAGAGCAAGGCGACCATTTGAGCTTATAAAACTTAAACTTTGTTATTTAAAAAAAAAATGAGCGATCGTTTCGCTTGATAAGACCCTTATTCATCGTCTGGAATCGTTTTAAAGCCCTTTGAACAGTTTGCAGTTTGCACTGAAACTGTCTTTTGGACCTTGAACCGTTTGGTTACCAGTAAAGTGCATTATATGGAGAAAAATCCTGGAATGTTTTCATCAAAAACCTTAATTTCTTTTCGACTGAGAAAAGAATGACATGGATATCTTGGATGACATGGGGGTGAGTAAATTATCAGCAAAAGTATTTTTAAAAGTGAACTACTCCTTTAAACTTGCTTACACACATTTGTAACCACCAACACTTGAACAAATCTTGACTATATTTCCACAGGTATATGTCCATGCTGTATTCGCACCCTGAGTTTCCTGCGAAAGGCCCAGCGGATATTAATAAGGAGCTGATGACCAGGGTCAGCAATAACCCACTCAAACTGCTCCTGCCCCAAAATGTCAACCGGTACGTCAAAGCACTGTGGAAGAAGAAATCGGCCGGACAGCCTGTCACCTTCACTGACATCTTCGGGATGTTGATAGGAGAGACTCTCATTCCTGCGGTGAGATACCATGTGCAAGAATACAAACTGGGTTATTGAAAGTTTGTACTGCAGTAGGACATTAAGAGTGGCATGAACTGTGCTGCACTGTACTCTATTTATACACTGGTCAAGTACAAAGACTCCTTTGTCAGTTGTCTCTCTATTATGCATTCAAATGCAAATGGATCCTTCTCTTTTGGGGAAGGTCCCTGTAAATCAGGAAGATACTTCTCAATGAAAGAAAGCACTACTGTACATTACCGTTCAGAAGTTTGAGATCAGTAAGGTGTGTTTTTTTATTAAAGAAAGAAATTAATTGATACTTTCATTCAGCATGGACATGTAAAAATTATCAAAAGGGACAGTTAAGACATTTATAATGTTCCAAAAGATTTGAATTATTTTTATATGCATTTTACCTAAATGCACTGTTCCTTAAATTATCAGTGTTTCTCTGGCTCTTGAAAGGTTTTAAAAAGTCTTTATTGCAAGGTGTGACAGATAGTGTAAAATGAAATTCCAAGACACTCATAAGTGACACTTATTATAATACAAGACACCAAGACACGTATTATAATACACTTCTTGGTACCAACCTTTTAGAAAACGCTATGTAAAAAGCATTGATAATTTACCATTTTCTTCAACCTCGACCAATGCTGTGCAAAAAAGTTTGAGTATTACGCTTACTTTGTGTGTTTTTGTGTGTTTTGCACAGAGAATGGACACTAAACTGAGCGCCTTGCAGGGAAAAATTAATGAAGGTCAGTGCCCGATGCCTCTCTTCACCTGTCTGCACGTCAAACCTGATGTCTCTGAGCTCATGTTTGCTGGTAAGAAGACAGTTCACTTTAAATAGGCTGCAAATAATAACATTAGAATGGTACATTTTATTGCATGGCCCGTTATTTATTGCTGTATGAATGTATAATTATTGTCAAAATGGAATGAGAAAAGACTGTCAATACTTGTCAAGATAAACAAAATAGTCAGAATTTGTATGGCACCTCCTCCTAGCCTCCATAGAAGACTGAACACTATCGATTTGTTTATATTTGCTTAATACTGTGGAAAACATGCAAATATTTGTTATGGGGCCTAATGATTGACCCACCGTGAAGTCAGTCTGAAATTACACAGTTCCTCGCACTAGTGCACTAGTGCAGACACTATTTTTAGAGACTAGTGTACCAGTCAGTCAATGTGTGGGTAGGTTTTATGTTGAATGGGATCAGCGCATGTGACTAAGCAGGTGATGGCAGAAGTAGAAGTAATTGAAAGTTAGTTTTTGTCAAGCGAGTCACTTACTGTAAATTACTCTTTGAGTGGACTTGAGTCATTTAGTATTATTTTAGTAGTGCAATGTAATATTTTACAATGTCTTTGCATGTCATTTTCATCCCTATTTTTTCCTATTTCAATCAGACTGGGTGGAGTTCACCCCATATGAGATTGGCATGGCCAAATATGGCACCTTCATGTCTCCAGGACTGTTTGGGAGCAAGTTCTTCATGGGCTGTGTTGTGAAAAAATATGAGGAAAACCCCTTACATTTCCTCATGGGTAAGACTGGGATTGCTCTGAATTTCAACAGAAGGGTTTACTCATTTAGACTACCTCAATACCCATGTAGTGACAATAGTACAGTCACTCGTGTACTTTACAATTACTCATACTTCCCATCAGATAGATGTTAGTTTACCCAAAAATTAAACTTCTTTCATAAATTACTCACCCTCCTTTCATTCCAAACTAATAAGAGTTTTGTTCATCTTTGGAAAATTCACATTCAAATTTATATGGATTAGGTTTAGGATCTCTTTTTGAACTTTTTGAAGCGCTAAAGTGTCAGTTGCGTGGCTGTCAATGGAGGGACAGAAAGCTCTCAGATTTCATGTTTATCGGGAAATTAACGCAAAGATGAATGACATTTTATCTTTTACAAGACAAAGTCCGATCTTTGAATGTATTTGAAAGATTTTGAATTACTTAGCAAAAGCAGCTGTTTAGTTGAAATGATGGTTCCTCTGATAATAAAAAGAAAATCTATTCAAAGCGAGCACTGAAATATGTCATCAACAGGATGGAAAAATAGATGTAGAGATATAATCATGTTGTTCATGCTTTATTCTTACTAGTATGAACAGCTCTTTATATAAATGTATCTTATGTTGAATCACTCATCTTGCACAAGCATCTTGCACCCTTTTTAGTTTGAATATGAGCTATACATGAGAATATATAATCCATCATAATCCTATAATCCGGTTCCAGTTATTGTTTGCTGTAGTATGTAAAGTGTTTGATGTAAGTGTGTGTGCTGCAGGTGTGTGGGGGAGTGCTTTCTCCATCCTCTTTAACCGGGTTCTGGGGGTGAAGGAGACAGCCAGCAGTAGCACAATGGAGGAGGAGTTGGGTGAGTAAGATTGTTTCTCTTACTCTTCTAGCTATCAGAGCCAAAGAACTCAATGAAAGGGACAAATTGCACCCTTTTTCAAGAGAACACAGATGTAGGACTATTTGGATTGGTATCATATCATCGAGTTTCTATCCTTGTGATATACTAAAATGTGCCATTTCTAGTTCTTCTAGTGCAAACGTACAGTTGACACTCATGAGTGCACGGTGTTGGTGTAGAAAGATAAGATTAACACACTGATCTACTCGCTATGGCTGTGTGACCTCAGTCAAACACACTGCAAATATTCAAAGTTGAAGTACAGCAACATATAACAGTAACAGATGAGTTTGTTCGGCATGTTCATGTTTATGTTGCACTTTGCATAAAGGCTTTGAACTTTGATAAAATAGCATTTTAAGGCTTTAGGACTGTTATAGATTTTCTTCTCTGAGACTTTATTTTCCACCACATTCCCATTACTGCAGTCAAGATAGTAATTCAGCACAACAAACACTATCATGATGTACACTAAGGGGCTGTTTACGCGGACCGTTTACAACTAAAAACTTCTACTTTTTGCCATTCGTTTACAAGACAACGGCATTTTGGGTTGTGAAAACAGGTTTTTAGAAAACAGTCTCTGTGTAAACAACAGAAACACATCTCTGGAGATGATGACATCATGCACATGTGTATTACGTGTTCAGTCTATACTGTTTCATCGCCATCTAATGGCCTGGCAGCAGAATACAAGGGGTTTCGTTTGTTTTTCACGGATCTGTGAGATAGTTTTGACAACGGTGACGTCTGAATGCGGAAAACAATTTTGTTTTAAGCATATCGTTTTCATGTAAACGTACCCTTAGATTAACAACTAGTCTACAAAAATGTGTAATTTGGGGTTTTTTTTGTAGCTGGCTATTAAGAATCAGGAGATCACAATGCAAAACAAAAACCTTATATATACATCTATGCAAAATTATAATGGCTTTTTGTGTGGTCCACCCATAGGTTGCAACTCTGTTTGTGTCTTCTGTTTTTCAGAGCAAATTAAGCCAGAGCATATTGTGGGTGATGATTCAGCAGATAATGACGAGGAAACTCAAAGAGGTGAGAAATAGCTCTTTTCACTCTCTTTTACTTTTTTAACTCACATTCATGCTTAGTTCAATTCAAGGCACAGCAATAATTACTCGCTGGTTCGGGGTGTGTAAGAGTTTTGGGCCAGTTGACAGGATAGTCATTTAGGGCCTTATCACACATTAGGCGCAATGCGGCGCCAGGCGCGACGCAAGTGCGTTTTGCTTGTTTCAGGCTGACGCAATTATCATTTTCACGTCCTGCATCACATTGTTTAAATAGCAAATGCATTTGCGCCCATTTGTGCACCCATAGGCGGCTGGTCTGAAAACGAGGTGTGTTCATGTGCATGGTTGGCGTGTTGCTATTTTGAGGCAACTGACATAGATTGCGCCATTGACCAATTGAAACCTGGTCTAAAGCCAATGATGCAACATTATTTTTTTTTGTTATTTAAAGTGTTATTTAAATATATGCGGGTCTACAACGCTCGTACACTCTGCTTATTACACATACAGGGATGTGCAGCGGCATACAAACTAGCAAAATGTTAAAAAATAAAAGGATTACAATGTAAAAGATTAATATTGTGAACATAAAGATATGGTGGAGTCATAAGTCATGTAAATGGTCTACTTGCGCACTTTAACGCGCAGATCCGTTTGCTCTCTGGAGACTCATTCAGTCTCGATATGCTAACATTATCTATCTGTCTATCTATCGATCTATTTATATATTTGTTGCTATCAAGGTAGCATTAAATCTGAAATGTTGTCTATTTATTTATTGTGTTACCTAGGTAATATTATTTAACAGTCTAACATTTTGTCTATTTGTTCATTTATTTTTATTTAATTTTTTTTACTACAGTATTATTCATTAATTAAGGTAACTTTATCTTGCTGTTTAATGTTTTGTCTATTCATTTATTTGTTTGTTTCTTACCAAGGTAGCATTATCCAACTGTTTTTGCACTATATGCGATCATGCAATCATTTCCAGTAAAAGTGTGTGTATGTATTCTTAACTTTAGCTGCATAATTTTCAGCTGTTATTGCCCCAAAAAACAAATAAATTTGTAGGGTTGAAAAAGAAATATATACAGTTATATAAAGCTATATAAGTATATCTTTCTGATGGCTATAAAATGTTACACAAATATTTTTTAGTTTTTGGTTTAGTGAAAATATTGGCATAGTAGGTAAAAATCTGTTAAAAAGGAGCAAGAGTATCATTGTTTGTCTCTCTTTCTTCCAGGAGGCACGGAGTCAGCAGAGGCAGAAGATGAGCGGCAGCGTCATGCTCAGGCTAGCTGGGTTCAGCGCATGTTGACCTCCATTATGGGGGACAGCACCCTTTTCACCACACGCGAGGGCCGTGCCGGCAAGGTGCACAATTTCATGCTGGGACTCAACCTGAACTCTTCCCTGCCCTTCTCTCCCTTCAGCAACCTGATGAGCCAGTCCTCTGTGGATGAGGAGGTTGATGCTGTTACAGGTACTAATTAGTCATTTATCTGGCGCTTATGCAAATTTACATTTGAGCCAAGAACGCCCACATATTCCTTTGCGAGGACCCCCTTCCTGAAACAGAAAGACTATTACAAAAGGAAAAGTCGCTTATTTTCATACATAAAAACCTCATTATACTGTATGAATTATAACTGTGATATTATAAAGACAGTTGTTTAGAGAAGGTGTTAAATATTATCTTGAAAATCTGTAAACTATCTTTTATAATATTAGATGTACTAACATAATTTATTTATATACTTATTTTATAAAGACTGATTTAACCCCCATTGAGCAAGTAAGTGCAACAGTGGTGAATATATAGAGACAGACTCAACATGGGTTTTCAGTAGAAGTTCATATATTTTATCTAGATTTTTTTTAAAAGCACAATGAACAATAACAATAGTGAAAACTCAAGCATCACCCTTCACAAGATTTAAACCTTCAACATTTTGGTTCAGAATTTGAAGTATGCGTTTTAAAGAAATGGGTGTGACGGACTGGAGGTGGAACAATAGGCTGAAATCTGGTCAGGTGCCACAGGACTTGATGATGGGCTTTCAAATATTATTTGGTGCCTGAGTGGGAGGAAGTCAGTCTGCTCAAAACTTCACATCTAAGAAATACCAACACACCCACTGCAGATTAACCTTTTCCCACGGGTCAAATACACAGAAATACCTTAATACATTACAAAGGAAGCATCTTTGGCTCGTCAGAACAAGATCACTGATTGTGTTAAAATGAGAAAATTTTGAGCGCAGTCTCAAGTTCATGTGTCATTCGGTTTAGCTCGCTGATCAGTGAAGGCAGGGTCTCATCCGATAATTACTGATAATAATAGCACTGCATGTGTCTGTGGCTCAGCAGTAGTCTACTTCCTGTTGACAGTTGGGTGTGAGAAAAAAGATAAGCTCCAGTGAGAATTTGTACAGTAATGCTGAACAAATGATGACTGTTGCAAAACTTTCAACATGGAATATTCTATACTCTGAAACAACTAGGTGAATGTTAGTGATGACATCCTGTGGTTTATTTACAGGTCATTGCCAAACCACAACACTAACTTTCCAATCAATCTTTCCTGCAGATCCTGATGAGTTTGAGAGAATCTATGAGCCTCTAGATGTGAAGAGTAAAAAAATCCATGTGGTGGACAGCGGGTTGACCTTTAACCTTCCCTATCCTCTCATTCTGCGACCTCAGAGAGGAGTTGACCTAATCATTTCCTTTGACTTCTCAGCCAGGCCCAGTGACTCCAGCCCGCCATTTAAAGTGAGTGTGTGCCCGAGGCTTGCATGACATGTACATATGAAGAATAATATGAATGTATTCAAATGAGGATTTACGTCAGACAAGTTTGTATGAAATTTCACACAATGCAGATAGATAGGAAGTAGACAGAGAAACTCTACTTTTATTGGTTTAACTGCCTTTAAAGGGTTAGTTCGGTATTTTACACTTAAATCCCTGTTTTAAGATCGTTTCTGATGAAATAGAACGGTTAAGATTGAAATTTGGCAAATGCTGCTCTCCCGAGAATTTTAGGTTTTTGTGTTAGCACCTACACAAGAATGGTTGTCTATGTGCACTGGAACAATCATTCATAAAACGCATTAAACTTTAGTTTACAAAGACGTGAAACTCACCGAGTGTGGTCTGGGGTGTTCACTGATATGCTCACAAAAAAATCGCTGCAAAAGATGCTTTCCAACAGGTTTTATTGTAGTTATTGTCACAAAAACTGTTCTATGTCATCAGAAACTATCTTAAAACAGGGCTTTAAGTGTGACTCCAAACTTTTTAAAGGTAGTGTATGTTTCTCTGAGCTGTGACTGTCATCTAACCGTGTCCTTGTTTGTCTGTGTTAGGAATTACTGCTGGCTGAAAAATGGGCCCGTATGAATAAGCTGCCATTCCCTAAGATCGATTCGAAAGTATTTGACCGAGAGGGTCTGAAAGAGTGCTATGTGTTCAAACCCAATAAGGGAGAAAAGAACTGCCCCACCGTCATTCATTTCGTCTTGGCCAACATCGACTTTCGGAACTTTAAAGCCCCAGGTGAGAGCGTGTCATTATCATATTGCACTTTTTTAAAGAATTTATGTTCTTAACATATTTTAAGTCTAAATACCAGAAACTGTTCTCATCTCATTTCAAGTCAGACACGACCTGTAATAAACTGAGTTAGCGAGTCATTCCTGCTGATTCAAGTAGCGAGTTTTCTGACTATGGCTCAGAAGTTAAAATTTACTCTGATTGACCAGTCTGGTCCTCTTAATTCTTGAACAAGAACCACAGTGATTTGTTTTCAAATTGTGCTGGAATTTGTGTTGTTTGTTTGTTTTTGTTTGAGGTCAACAAGGAAAACACAGTAGAAAGTTGTGTCAATATAATGTCAGTGCACATAACTCGACTAAAACCGTTTAGAAGTTTGGGGTTGGTAAATCTTATTAAGGAAATTAATACCTTAATTCAGCAAGGATTGCATTAAATTGGTCATAACAGTAAAGACATTTATAATGATCCAAAAGATTTCTATTTCAAATATTTGCTGTTATTTTGAACTTTCTATTCATAAAAGTATCCTAAAAAAATGTTATCTAGGTTTTTACAAAAAAAGGGTTTTTTTGGGGTTTTTTTTTTCATTTTATTTAAAGTTTTTGTAATTTGTGTGATTGTGCTGGGGTGTTTATTTTAGTTTGTCTTTCAGTTTTAGTTTTAGTTTTTTTAGCACATCAATTTAAACTAAATGAAAAAGAGAAATGGTGAAAACTAGCTCAAATAATCTTTTTTATTTCAGTTAATGTTTATTTTTTATTTCAAACAACGTAAATGTTTTTTTATGGATTGAGGTTTAGTTAACTATAATAACACTGAATATATTATATATAATAACAGTTCTTTTAATATTTGTAATAATATTTCACAATATTACTGTTTTTCAATACTATTTCACTAATTAAAATTTGTATTATAGATCATGTGAACATTCTTTGTAGAAAAGGTCAGATTTAATTGTTCTCTTTTCTGTTTTCATGAAGGAGTTCCTAGGGATTCAGACAAGGATATAGAGTTTGGGGACTTTGACATATTTGACGATCCAGCCTCTCCCTTCTCTACTTTCAACTTCAAATACTCTAACCAGGCCTTCAAAAGGCTTCATGACCTAATGGAGTTCAACACACTCAACAACATTGAGGTCAGTTCTACTCCTTGAAACTCTGATTTAAACACCTTCACAGCAGTTTTTTTTGCGGTTCATCTTTGGTCTTCATTCCATGTGACTCTGTTTTGTTTTGTAGGTCATAAAAGAGGCTATTAAAGAAAGCATTCTGCGGAGACGAGAGAACCCATCAAACTATTCGGTTTCCCTTTCCCTCAATGAAATTGAAAACAAGAAGTTCTTGAAACGGGATACCAGCTTTGCAAAATGACACACCTAACTGATAGTTATGCAAACAGCTATACGCAAAAGCCTTGACATGTGAGATGCCATTGGTCCACTGGTGCTTGATGGGAGTCAGTGAGCAGATTCCTCAGAAAAGACTGGATTGGCCTTATTACGGGGTCGTTTTTATGTTGCATTCCAGAAGACTTTGAATTATATCACCTCTTACTTTAAATTAAGAATAATAGAAATTACCAAAAAAATTAAATAAAAATAAAATCTCATTCAAAATATTTACAGGAACTATAATTCAAGTAATGCCAGCTCTGGAATGTGGAATCAGGAAAAAAACGAATCTACAGACATTTGTTTTTTTTTAATGTTCTGCACTCAGTTTGGGGTAAATTCTGTGGAATAGATTTAAATATGGTAATATGTGTTAACTGATCTGAGAGCTGAGAGTACTGCGCTTATCGGTCACTGAAATTACCCAAAATATTTAATAAACAAGCACTCAATGGGCAGGGGACATGAAACACTTTGTAAATGAGAGCCATTCTGTGATTCAGTGGACCATTTTCAACTTTATTTCAAAATTATTTATAAGTCACTATGTGGGCATATTCTCCACACCTTTAATGTTAACATGCTTTCGATTCTGGCTGTGTGCTTCTCTAAAGAGTCAAATACTGGCAGCTTTGTTTTCACTTAGTTAATAATGTTCTGAGAGTAATTTATGGTCTCAATGGTGGCTTGAACTTCAGGACACGCTGTTCCTTATGTGTTTCTGCCGATGTGATTAGAAAACAATTTCTGTTCTCTGTTCGGATTTACTGTGACGCACCTATGACCACTAGATGGTTGATGGTAAGCCCTGCCTTCAGGAGGATTCATCTCATATTTTAGCGACAGATTCATTACTTAGGAACTGGATTTAGCTGCTTTTATTTATTTTGCTTACAAATGTCTCCTGTCTCCTTGTCTCCTGCCCAAAGGGGTGACAGGAAGAAGGTGAAATGTCATCTCACACTTCCCACGCAGGACTTCACCTCTTTGTGAGGTGTCTGGAACAAGGACAAGATGGAACATGTTGTGAAAATGTCCTCATTTCCTGTTTGTATCAGATATTTGTGGCGCATACAATATCCAACTTTCCACATAGTCATTCCTCTGGTTTACATACGTTATGATGAAAGTGTACACAAGATTATTTATTTGTATGCTTATTGTGTAGTTTTTTTATGTTGTTTTTAAATTTCTCAAAATCAAACATTTGAAATAAATGTCAATGGGAAAAGTGGTTTAGTAAAGGTCATTCATAAAACTGAACTGAGGTCAGTAGGCTAAAAGTGGAAGGTATAGATACCAGAAAGACTGGTTGTGTGGTAAAAAATAGACCTTAGGTGTTAGAGTGCACTTTAACTCTAAAATAAATATCAACACATTCCTTGCTGTTTGTGGTCTGTACAGTTGGATTTGTAACAACTTATGATGTTGTGAACACCACAACTGTCAGATCCTTTCAAAGTGGAGATGTACTGTATGTTTGTATGTTCATGTATATTAAAAAAAAAAAAAACATAATTATGAGTGCCATGTACCTTTAAGTGATGTTACTAGCCCATGTAGTGTAATGTGTATAAACATAATTAAAGGATCTCAAACCAATTAATGGTCTGGTGACTATGCTTTCACTAATAGTTAATACTTTTTTTGCCAGTCCTTTAAACAGAACAAAACACTTTACTGTGAAAATCAAGGGGTTTTTTATTATTATTATTATTATTATTATTCATTTTTTTAGCTATTGCGCTTTTTTCCATTGGTAAGAGATCCTCTCATCTCCATTTAAACAAGACAATCTCTGGCCTGGCCTAATGATACAGTGCTATTGCCCATAATGTCCAGGCAAGAATTTCAAAAATGGATAAATATGATGCCAAAGTTAATGAAAATAAAATAATGGGTTTTTATGGTTGTTAATAATAAAATGTCAGATGTCTTTCTGCCAGGGGTGGACAAAGTAGGCCTACACAACTTCCTTACTTGAGTCAAACTACAGATAGGCCTACTACTACTGGTCAAATATTACTCAGTTATAATTTTAACTTAAAGGAGTAGTTCACTTTTTAAAATTAAGATAATTTACTCACCCCCATGTCATCCAAGATGTCCACGTCTTTTTTTCTTCAGTTGAAAAGAAATTAAGGTTTTTAATGAAAACAGTCCAGGATTTTCTCCATATAATGGACGTCATTGGGAACCAAGCGGTTTAAGGTCCAAATGAGAGTTTCAGTGCAGCTTCAAAGGGGATACCAGTATTACCAGATGATGAATAAGGGTCTTAATTGACTTTATGCACAGCTGCACTACTTCCTGAAGTTAAAGTCCCCGTGAAATCAAAATTGAACCTATTTACTTTGTTAGCGCATATTACTAGTCTTGGGGTGAACAATTAATCCGTGCAAGTGAATATATATTAAAAAAATGTTTTACCTTAGTAATCTTTAATCAAAATCTGAAAAGTTACTTCCGGTCTGGAACGGTTTCTTTTTCTGATGACGTAGGTTTCACAGTTTGGGTGGGGAAACGCTTAACCACTCCCCTCAAACCGTTAGTTTGCTATGGGCGAGAGATGGAGAGGAGGAGCGCTAGAGTAAAACCCTGCCCTCTGTTCAATATTCCGTTTCACTTGGAAATACGTCACAGCACTGGAGAAAAATCGTTTGCAACTTCCGGTTCACGGGGACTTTAAGCCAGCTCCCTTGTTTCCTGTCTGCCATTATTGGCCAAATTGATTAGTTCAGGTGTGCCTGACCTCAGTAGTCACGGCAACAATAATCAGACACACCTGAATTAATCAAGCTTGGCCAATAATGGCAAACAGAAAACAAGGGAGGTGGCTTAAGTTCAGGAAGTAGTGCAGCTGTGCATAAAGTCAATTGTACTAGACATGTGGGAAATTAATGTGGGAGAAAATAAATACTCCCTAGATTTACACAAACTGAGAAAGTCAAAAAGGCGTTACGTTGTGCCCAGCTCTCCCCTATATCGCCATCTGCTGGAAAAATAGAAATCCCACTTAGGCCCACTCAGTATTTACCAAAGAGACTTGGTATTAGCTTGTGTATGACTGAAGGACAGTAGGGCCCGGTTTCACACACAGACAGAGCTTAAATTAAGCCAGGATTAGGCCTTGTAGTTCAATTAGGGCATTTAAGTAGCTTTTATAAACGTGCCTTAGAAGAAAACTTTATTGTGGTGTGTGCATCTTGAGACAAAACAATGACACTGACATATTTTAAGATCTGCCAGTGCACGTTGCTTTAAGTTAAAACAGTTCAATAATGCATTCTGGAACCAGTTTAGGCCTTGTCTGTGAAACCAGGGGTCAGCAGTAACACATCATCACTATATGCAGTGCTGGACTACATTTGAATAAAAAGAGTTAACCACATGATTCACCATTTCACTGATTGAAACTAAAAAGAGTGAGGTTCAACGTCCCACCCAAATTGTAAAATATTACTAAACTGGGAGTCAATTGCTTTAAATTAGGCTACATAATAGTTTCAGTTCAGCAGTTAATTATAAAGATTTTTATTTTAAAGGTGCAAAAGTTCTAATCTAACTAATGAAAATAAAAACTAAATGATTTGATTGGGTGACATGTAGTTGTTGATTCCGCCCACAGACGCTAGAGGGCTTTCTATGCGGAAGTCAACAAGCACCATCAAGCTGCTTCCTGACAGTGCTGGGACTATTCCGCGTAAACTGGCATTTTTTGATTGATTGATTGATCGATCGAACCAGCCATGTCGAAGAATACAGTGTCTGATCGATTCAGAAAGGTTGATATTGATGAGTACGACGAAAACAAGTTCGTCGATGAGGAGGACGGTGGAGAAAATCAACTAGGTCCGGATGAGGCTGAGGTGGATTCTCTCATCAGATCATATCCTTTCAGTCCATTTACTTTTATGGTTACTTTTTATAGATGTTCTGCTTACTTGCAGTATGGCGTTTTGACTTGTCGTTTTCTAATACACTTGATGTGTTGCTTTAAGTTTCTAAAATGTAATTATTTCTGTAACTTACTCGTCGTCCAGACATGGGTGTGGTTGTCAGTCGCTTCATTCATTTAAGACAGACATATTTCACATTGTCATCACAAGTTTGCATTGTGGGTTCAAGTCTTTAAGGTCTTTTAATGCGGCTATAATGTTTAAAAAGTGTAACACATAAAGCTGTGCCTTATATAGATGTGGCAATTACTTAGAATGGTGTTGTTGTAGAAACACTTCCGGATGCCATCGACTTCCGGTTGCAAGATTGAAATCCAGAAGTGGCTTTTTAATTCTTTATACTTTAATATTTTGTTTTCTGCAGCTTATAATGGAAGCATAGTGACAATTATTATTGAATGCATATCAGTGATGATTAAGAGTGAATGTTATTAGTGAGTAAGATGTTATTTCAGGCATCCTGCTGTCCTTTCCTTAGTGCCTTATACAGGTAACCTGATGGGGGCTTTGCAGGCAGTACTGAAGAATCCACCCATCAATACAAAGAACCAGAATGTAAAGGTGAGTAAAAGTCAAATCACTCTGAAGTAACTTAAAGTGTCGGTTTTGTTAAACTTTTAACATTATTATTCCCTACCAATGGTTTTACCCAACAGTATTCAAAGTTCCTGTGATTTTTCCAGTTGTTCATTATTTACTGAATAAGGATTAAACAATATTTTTTACTCGCATTTTAGAACTTGGTTTAACTATAAAAATCTATAACAAATGCTCAAATTGTTCACAATTATACAATTATATATTTACATGATCAGTTTTCCAGGTCTAGAAAAATATCATGTTTCTAAACCTAGGTTACCTCATTTTTTAAGCTTTTCACAAAAAAAAACCAAAAAAAAAAAAAAAAAAACAGCTGTATAAGAAATAGTTTTTTTTTTTTTTTAGCTTATGCTTGTTTTGTCTTATTTAAATCATTTTGCCCGGTTTCACATACAAAAGCTTAAAGGAGTAGTTCACTTAAAAAAAAGGTTTGCTGATAATTTAATATAATGACATATAATGCACTTTATAAGCTTTTGAGCTTATAAAACTTAAGCTTTTTTTTTTTTAATATGAGCGATCGTTTCGCTTAATAAGACCCTTATTCATCGTCTGGAATTGTTTAATGAATTGTCTTTTGGACCTTGACTAATGTGCCGTGCTTTACAACAATAAATAAAAAAGCGAAGATAATGATAATGAATAACAATAGTAAATGTATATTAATAATAGTACAAATAATAATAAAAGCAAAAATTTTATTTATTTTATATATTTTATGTTTTATAAATAAATATAGCTCATAATATGAAGTATTGTATAATTTTTTATGTATGTCAAATACACATTTCATGGCTTTTCTATATATTCGCTTAAAATTCTCTTGTTTGGATGGCCAAATAAGATTGGAGGTGTATAATCATCTCAAATGACTCATTTATTGTCAAGGGTAGTTCATTATATATATGTGTGCGTGCAGGACCGGGCTGAAGGCCTCGTGCTTAAAGTGCTCAGCTCTTTCAAAGCTAGCGATATAGAAAAGGCTGTTCAGTCTCTGGATAAGACTGGAGTCGATCTGCTCATGAAGTACATCTACAAGGGCTTTGAAAAACCCTCTGACAACAGTAGTGCAATCCTTCTTCAGTGGCATGAAAAGGTAAACACATTTTTTTTAAAGGAATAGTTCACCTAAAAATGATCGTTCTGGCTATATATTGACTCGTGTCTGTCTGCTTAGGCTCTCTCAGCAGGTGGAGTGGGCTCTATCGTCAGAGTGCTCACGGCCAGGAAGACCGTGTAATGTTCAGCACCCCAGCGCCGTGGCAGGGTTGGCGTATGGACTGGCTAACACAAGCCCTCGTGGTCTGGTTTCTGCCAAACTGTGGAGGATGTCCAGTCACTCACCTCTGACCTTTTTTTAAAACAAAACAAAAAAACGATCAAACATTACAGTCCCATTTGGATTTGTTGCAGTGAAGATAAGCACCTTGGATCTGTGTTAACAGAAGGGTGATGAGAAAATGTTATTGTTGACCTCAGTAGATCTTAAGCACAGACATTTTAGCTATCATCAAAGGAAACGTCTCTTTACTCGTCTTCTTCACATTCTCATACCTGTCCCGATGTAAAGTCTCAACAGAGAAGAACAAACAGTACATGTAAGCACATGACTAAATCATTACCCAGTCATGTTATTGCAATCACGCATGATGGCACTCTGGAGTGAGTTGTTTTTTGTTTCACTTAAAGGAAATGTTGACCCAGAAATAAAAATTCTGTCACCACTCTGATATCACTCCAAACCTGTTCTTTCTGTCTTCTGTAGAACACAAAAAAATGATTTTTGAGTCCAAACAACATTCCAAAGATGTTTTCTTTTGTGTTCCACAGAAGAGAGAAACACATACAGGTTTTAGCCGAATGAGGGTGAATAATTAACAGCATTTTTATAGTTGGGTTAAGAAGTTTGTCAAGCTTTAGTTTGTAGAGGATGTTCTCTTTACAGTCTCTTCCTCATCAGAGCTGGTCTATGGAACATGCCAACATCAGTATTTGCTTTTTCCCTACTTGCATGCACCGCATAATGTATTAGTTCTAGAGTCGGTTGTTGAATCTAGCCTTATTTGAATGCAGGTGCTTTCAAGAGGGAGATTTCCAGCTCATTTTGTATGTGATCAGAGTGCTTATTTTTCTCCACAATCCCTTCAGGATTTCATTTATGTTTCCATCATATCACAACGGGATCACATTTTGAGAAACAGAAAAAAGGGAATAACTTTTCTTAAGTTGCCAAAAAGGTTTTGATTGTCATGATTGTCGATTATTAGTAGTGCGTTTTTGTACTCTTTACAGAAACAATGAATTAAATTTTTTTATAACGCTGAGTATTATTCAAATTGTCTAAGCTTATGTATATTTTGATCATATCATTTTGTTGAACTGTTATCAATCTAGAAAATCATTAGCATAATTTCTCAAGTTTGAACTCAAGACTTAGTCAGGTGCTGATGATATAGCTAACCTCTGAGACACACAAGTGTTTGTGTACGCTCACAATTTCCACCAAACACAGCAGCAAGCACTCAAGATGCAATGGAGAATTTTGCTTCCACTGTGGTCTATCTTTTCCATACTTCAAGCCATACATTAACAACTTGAGGAAGTCTCCACTTGTTCATTTGCGGCTCGAAGTGAATGTTGAGTTTGCATCACGCCACTCAATCATTTGATTACGTGCGAAAATTATGAACTAGTTTACCAACTGCCTTATTAAAAATGTTCCTTTTATATTGTATGGTCCTTTTGAAAAATAAATTAAATGAATACAGTCTCCTAATTTTTTTTTATTTATGTTGATTAAATGTGCAAACCAGAAGAGTGTTATTTTTTAACTAAACCAAAACGTTTGTTACTTCAAATAAACATTATCTGAAATAAAAAATATCTATATTTAAAAATGTTTTTATTTCAGCTAGTTACCAAGGAAACCTCATTCTAAAAACGTAAACTTTAAAAATATTTAAATAAAATTAAAACTAAAAATTCTAAATAGTAAATGGATACTCCACCCAAAAATGAAAATTCTGTCATCATTTACTTACCCTCAAGTTGTTGCAAACCTGTATGAGTTTCTTTCTTCTGCTGAACTCAAAGGAAGATTTTTTGAAGAACGATTGGAACTTTGGTACCATTGACTTCCATAGTATTTTTTTTTTTCATTTTGTTTCTACTATGGAAGTCAATGGTGCCAAAAACTGCTTTTTCAAAATATATTCCTTTGTGTTCAGCAGAAGAAAGAAACTCATACAGGTTTCCAACAACTTGAGGGTGAGAAAATTATAACAGAATTTTCATTTTTGGGTGGAGTATCTCTTTAAGAACTAAAATGGTAGGCTATCTCAATAATCCTAAAATAACACTGGTGTGTGTGAAACAAATATATCGTGGCTTCTGTAGCGTGCGATACATTGATAAATCTGAAACAAACAGTATAATTTACATATTGCAGAGAACAGTAAAACAGTAGAAACTGCTGAAGTAAAAACATCTGCACCTACAAAATCAGTGTTGATGAAAAAGATCATATTTGTCATATATTGTATTCCAAAGACGGGTATATTTGAGAGAAAAAAAAAAGTTACATTATGATACATTTTCAATATTCAGGCCGTGTAAATATCCTACAGGACTTTCCACACTTTACTATTTTGCTTTTCATAGCAACCACACGGGGGCGCTGTTTCCTTTGCACTTACATGCTTCTGTGTACTTTGATCATTCCAGAGCCATCTCTGGTTCCTGGAAAGACTCATATCATCTTATATAAATGTGCAAATGTGGGTAACAAAAAGTGCCAGTACAAGTTCAAAGATCAATGAATTTTATGAGTATGTGATTTCATGGGAATGAATCTCTCTGTCCTTATTCCAGTTCATTGATCTAAACTTAGTTTAAGAAATCCAGATAAACTTGCTATGCCTTTGTAGCTTTAGAATCTAAACTACAAAGGCATAGCAAGTTTATCTGGATTTCTTAGAAACCAATGCATCCAAAAATATTGTAGAGAGAAGAGGTTTAAAATTACATTTCTAAAGTCTTATATAAGACTGAGAACCAGAGTGGGTGGATAACTAAATATCTTACAAAATACAGCAACACTTTCTGCTGTTTGTGTAATCCAAATGATCAAAACCACGATTTCAAATAAAAAGATTAAAATTTTTAAGTCTGTTCCCAAAAATAAAACCAGATTGTATATTTAATCACAAACATTTCATGAATACCGTTTATTACTTTTAGTTGTAAATGGCATATTGTTATCACAGACATTTGCAAAAAGCTAATACAAATGTCTTGACAACATCCCTTAATCATTTTCTGACAAGTTGATTGTGCCTTGTCCAAATAAAAATAAAAGTCAATATGGACAATAAAAACATGAACCCTACCTTCCTTTATATTTTCTAATGACATTAGGTATATTTTATATATCTAGTACATAATTTATTAAATTTATTTAATTTAATACAAAATGCTATAGTTGCTTCCAAACAAACATAAAAATTGCCAGTGTGTTTTTATAAATAACAATATTGTAACTTACAGCTGAATTAAATTAGAGCAATAAAACACACTTGTATTACTACAATAAAACTATTCCTGAGTCTTCTAGGAAGTCTTGATTATAGAAGTGTGGCTCAAGATTATCTGAGAATTATTATATTCTGTTGTCATGCCACAGGTGAGTATAGATCTAAGATTGGTCATCTGTCAGAAGCAGCAGAAGGGCTTCATTGGCCCATTGTGTTGTACAAGGGAACTGGCATTGTTTTCTAGCAAGCAATGTTTAGTGTGTGGCAGCTGCTATGGAGACATAAGTGCTCAACATTTTCACACAATTATAACTAAACTTAAATGGCTTGTGTAACAAAAACACGTTTTACTGGTTCCATGTTTAAGATGTAAGGGACAATATACAGTTGGCCTATCAGTATTGTAAAATAAACCTATACAGGGTGAGGTTATTTGTTTAATCTAATTTCTTATTCTACTAAAGATAGAACTTATTTTTTTACAAACAATAAATTGATTTTTTATTTTATTTTTATTAGAACTTCTCTTTATGGCAATAAAAATAAATTTAAATTACCTTTATTTTATAGCCTGCCCTACCATTTTCATAATGATTATCACTTCCAAACCAGCTTTAGAGACATGATAGTGTAACACAACCAATTTGAAGTAAGAAAGTTCAAGGTGACCGTGGTGCAGAAAGATATGACACAAATAGAAACTATAAAGACACTGCAAGGGACGAGATAAACACTTAAAAATAAAATATATGTATATACAGTAGAGATCAAAATTAGAGAACAATTAAAAAACACTTGATTAATTTCAAAAATATTGTTACTTCATTGCTTGAAATTTGAAGGAATATTCACTATGGGTATACCCTTGTTCTAATTGCTTTTTTCACAAAACCACCAAGGTACTTCAACAAAAAAAAATTATTTTGTGGAAAACACAGCAATCAAAATTAGAGAACCATAACCATTGCAGCACAAAAGAAAGCATTACAACTCAAATTTGAGGCTTACAGCAGTCAAAATCTAATAGGAAGTGTAGAGGCCCTTGCTTTGAATGACCTGAGCACATCTGCGGCCACAAGACATCACTAGGTTCTCACACAGCTCTGGTGTGATCTTGGTCCACTCTTCTTCCAGTTTTTTCCACAGTTCAGTAACTGTAGTGGGTTTCTTAGCCATAACTTTGTCGCCAAGGATTTTCCAAAGATTTTCAATCGGGTTTAGATCAGGACTCTGGGCTGGCCATTTCATTATTTCAATTTTCTGAGCTTCAAGGAACTGCTTTACCCGTTTTGCAGTGTGACACGGGGCATTGTCTTGCATGAAAATTGCAGGCTGATTGGGAGATGCTTGCAGGGAAGGAACCGCATGTTGCTGAAGGAGGTTCTGATAAACATTTGCATTCACCCTGCCATGTAGCTGTATAATAGGCCCAACTCCTGAGGCAGAAAACATCCCCCAAACCATGACACTTCCTCCGCCACCCCTGACTGACTTCTTTACGCACTTTGGGTTCAATCTTTCCCCAATTTGACGCCGAACATAATGTTTCCCATCGGACCCAAATAAATTAAACTTACTTTCATCGCTAAAGTGAACTTTTGACCAGTTCTCCTCTGTCCACACGACATGCTCCTCCGCAAAGTTTAGTCTAGCCTTTTGATTCTTTCTGCTGATGAGAGGCTTGGTCACTGCAGAGTGAGCTTTCAGTCCAAATTCTCTTAAACGACAAGACACTGTATGTCGAGACAGATCCTTACTATGTTCAGCTCTGAACTGGCGAGCAATTCCAGCTGCAGTGTTCAACCGATTCCCCATTGAAAGTCTCCGCATCGTCCTATCCTCTCGTGCACTTGTCTTATGTGGACGACCAGCCTTTTTGGGGGACTTGAATGAATGAGTATCTTTGTATAGCTTCAATATTTGAGAAATCACAGATTTGGAACGACCAATTTCTTTTGCTATAGCCGAAAAGGTCATCCCTTTGGCCTTCATCTGTACAACCTGGTGTCGTAGGGATTCAGTCACCTTAGATCGGCTTGCCATCTTGCAAAGTCAGTTAAAATTGGAAAGTTTGCTGCCAGTTAAATAGAGTGTAGCAGATAATTAAGGAAATTAGCACCAGGTGCCACATTAATCACCAATAACTTGGAGGTATCTGAAAGAGTTCTCTAATTTTGACCAGAGTTATTTTTTTAATTTTCTCATTTAAGTTTTATATATTGCAGTTAAATATATTTAATTTATGAAATATGCTAAAACAAACGTCCCTTCTGCTCCTTTTAGGTTAACTCTAACTAGGACTAAGCAGTGACCTTGACATTTTGGAAATTGTATGTTGTTCTCTAATTTTGATCTCTACTGTATATATATATATATATATATATATATATATATAATTTTATAATAAAATCTAATTAACATTATGATATTAAACTAAGATGATGATAATGTCTCTAAATTATAACATAAAACAAAATTAAATTACATTTCCATAGAGTTCGGTTTAAAATTGCAGAGTTTGTGAGTATTATTATTATTCCTTGACATTATTTTTCTTCCTCTCTATCACACTGTGATATATGAGCCTATACAGTATACACAATAATAACTGAAAATAAAAACATTCATCATATTAATGGTGTATTTGCAGACTGTATCATCAGTGATGTGAGCTTAGTGACTTATGCTGTAAAAACATGGTTCAGCTGAGTGCATTATGTAACCCATGCTCATCTGAACAAGTTTGCATTGAGAGATCCATAGAGAGAAGGCAAGAGGAGGCATGTCTGTCTATAATATTCATGTTTCTTTTTCTAAGTGGCTGCAAACCATGGAGACAGCAGGCCGAGGTGGAGGCTTCACTTGTGCCGATTACGAGGTGCTTACATAATACAGATCTCCACAGAAGTGGAACAAAATGCAAAATAAGAGGGAACATGACATTTTGTACAGCCATGACATTTTAACAGAAGCAAGAAGAGAGAGAGAGATCTGCTACTGCTTCAATATGTAGCACCTTAAATATTGATATAGACAGTGTGAGGACACATCTGTTCTGCATGAATGAATTTGACTGTGTTCCTGGTGAACTGGCCTGCTGTGATTAAAGTGAATAATGGTTGACATACAGCTAATCATGCTCACTGCATATTCACACAGGCGGTAGGAGCAACGCGTTTCCCGTCACATAGATGCAGATACAATACAATTAATATTTTCAGCAACATTTACTGATTAAATTATTATCAATATGATAAGCACGTTGGAGATGAGCGCCATTATTTGTCCCTCCCAGTCCCACTCCCATCGTGCTACTGTGCGCTCGTCATCAGTGACGCAGCATTGTTAAGCGCGCGCTCTTCGGTACATCTCGTTAACGGCGGTTCTTTGGACAGATAATCATTATTTTTCTTAGTAGAGATGATGTTCAAGGTCCTTAACAGACAAAGGAAATCGGTAAGACGTATTTCTCATGTTGTGTTTTGAAATTAAAGCGTTTTTGTTGGGTATGGGAATGTTAAAGTGGTGTTAAAAGTTAGTCGAGCTTGTGAACTGACTAGGAGAATCCTGTTGTTTGTGTTGTTTTAGGAAAAGCCACTTTTAGTATGTTGCTGTTTTACCTGAACGTTTGCCCTACAGCTTGAATTTCGGTGAGGAATGCCAATAAAATATTAACTTTTACCAATGAAAAACGGATGTTTTTGTGAATGGGTCAGTCATTGTACAAAAGACTCGGCTTCTGCATGGTCTTCTGACTGGACCTCACAGATCAGAATCATAGCGCTTTAACTGACCGTTTAACCATCTGGTCCATGACCAGTTTAACACCGTCGTGTTATGTCCGATTTCTAACACAGTTAAAGATGAATTTCGCTTAAAGATGAAAATGACAGATGTTAAGCAGACCATTATTGGCCGACATCCTCAGTCACCATTCACTTCCGTTGAACTGAAAATGATGTTAAGTTAACGATATTGAACGTTGTCTGAGACTTTTGTATTGAGTACCTAATGCCATAACTCAATACGTTTAAAGTATTTTTGTCTTCGCCACATTCGCCACCATGCACCAGACCTGTAATATGATGTTTATTTACATTGTACCTGTTTTGAATATAAGGTTAAGAGAGGTCACATGTTTGTTTCGGCCGTACTGGTTTAATCTAGAAAGCAGTTCCTCCTCGCGCTCCGGGTCGCGTGTCTCTCGCGCCTTGAACAAATATTAAACCCGGAAATGTGAAAAAAAAAAAAAAAAAAAAAAAAAAAAAAAACACTGAGCGCATTATCAGTTGTCAGTTTTGGATCCTTTTTCTTTATGAGCATTAAATGTAATGTATTGGGTTTTGAAAGTATGTCTTATGTTATATGTTTTGTTTTCTAAATAATTTTGCTGTCGGTTTTGAAAGCATTAATTTGACCATAGAATATTTATACCTTTTAACTAACAAATACTTGTTGATAGATCCAAGTTATGTGGTTATAATTTTGTTAATTTTCCCACAACCATGGTAAAACCTACAAATATCAGAGTGAATTAATTGGGATTTTCCTGGCCTGGAAAAAAGTTTTCTTTATCTGTAGAATATTTATAGTTGAATGTTAAATATTCCAGAATACTGGAAACCTCAGTGGAATTCATTGGTGAAAAAGTTTGTGATTATAACCATAAAGGGCGGCAATGTCTTTGAAAAAGCCTCGAATGCTCACCAAGGCTGTTTATTTAAACAAAAATACAGTTAAATAAACGCTTAAATTGTAATATTACCTTTTTAAAATAAGTTTTCTATTTTAAATTGTTTCTGTGATGGGAAAGCTGTATTTTCAGCGTCATTACTCCAGTTTTGTCACATGATCCTCAGAAATTATTCAAAAATGATCATTTCATTTGGTGCCCAAGAATCATTTTCTCTTATTAGCTGTTGTTGAGTTGACATGGTTGAGTTCAGTGTGCTTCTCTTTCACTTCTGTAGGTCATCATGCATAATCAAGGTTGTAGGACTTGTATTCTTTAACCCGCTGAGTGACATCAGACAAGATTGGTGCAGCCACCGTTTCTTCTCTGTTGAAAGGTCTAATAAAGTGCCTTAGAGCAAGACTGTTCTCCTGTTACATCTGTTTGGTAGGTGTATCTTTTCATCAGACCCACATGGAATCTGTTTTACATACTTTCACAGCTTTCTGTTTTGGAAATCTGCAGAATTTCAGGATGCTTTCACACTAGCAATTTTGGTTCGATTGATGTCAGAGTTCAGTTCATTTGAATGATGCGAACGCTGTTTTCAGCAAACCTTGTTTGGAGTCCGCATAAATTCAGGATGTTCACTAAATCGTGGAAGTGAACCACTATTGATGACGTATGATTCGATAAAACTTGTGCTTGTGTCGTGTGTTCTCACTCATTTTTCTGACAAGCGTGACTTATGCACTGCAAACAGAGGAAATGTAGAGAATGTATATCATTTCATTTCTGCTCACCTTTAGCAGAAATGGACTCACACGTTCTTTTTTACATTCAAATTCTACATTCACGATGCGATAGATGGATGCATTTGCCATTATGTATGGTCTGCATTTGGCACCTTCTCCGGCATCGTTGGAAAGCAATAGGAGTAAAGAGCTTCTGCTTTGATGCAAATGCACCATGGTTTGGAGTCGGACCCAAATAATATAATGTGAACACAATCCAGTGGGGGAGGGGGAGCAATTGAATTCTTGTTTGGATCAGACAATTCAACCAAGTGTGAAAGCACCCTTCTTCACATCCCCCACTCCTTACATGTTCATATGTTTTTAATTCATATGTATTTAATACTTTTGATGATGCCCTCAGCTTCCAATACAACTGTACTCTAAGCTCATTTTAATGCTTATCTTGTTTAAATCCCCACATAGTCATTGCAGAAAATGTGGTACAAAACGGCACAGATTTCATGTGGGCCTTCTCCTCACATATTTGTAAATGCTAAAGAGCAGTTCTCATTTTACTGTTTGCCTCCATCTTGACTTTGATAGATTCGTCAAAATGACTCCCAACGGATATTTAATATTTGAAGATGAGAGTTTCCTTGATTCTACTGTGGCCAAGATGAATGCTTTGCGTAAAAGTGGCCAGTTTTGTGATGTCAGACTATTGGTAAGACCCTTTTTGTTTCAGCAAAAATAAACATACCTGTTGTGATACTGTACACTGCTGTTCAAAAGTTTGGGATCAGTAAGACTTGAATTTGAATAAAATTCTTGACTTGACATTTTTGAATAAATTTCACTTATTTGATCAAAACTACAGTAAAAAGTTATATTGTAAAATATTATTATAATTGTATTATATTTTAAAATGTAATTTATTACTGTGATGGCAAAGCTGAATATTCAGCATCATTATTACTCTAGTCTTGAGTGTCACATGATCCTTCAGAAATCACTCTAATATGGTGATTTGTTGCTCAAGAAACATTTATCAATGTTTAAAAATGTTTTTTTTTTTGGGAAACTGGTAATACATTGTCAGGATTGAATACAAAGTTTTTATAAAGTTCACTTGATCAATTTAATGTAGATTTTCATGATTCTGGAGAACTTTATTTTTTTTAATTTTATTTTGCTTAAAATGGAGATCTATATAGACAACAAAATAACATTGGCAAAATGTTAATTGCTGCAGTCTATTTAAAAAATATGTTTGATTTTGATGAATTAAAGTTTGGATGATTTTAATGAATGACTCTCTTATACTTCACTTGTTTCAATTCTGGATGCATCAGCGTTTTTGAACAAATCTCTTGAATGAACAATTCAATGACAAATTAAAGTCACATGTCACCACCAACTGGTGTAACCACCTAATTGATACATTTTATTTTTATTTTTACCGCAGTTCAGTGTTCATATCCAAACTATACACTTAAATCCCAGTACTTCTGTGATAAATTGAACTATTGTAACAGAAATAATGATACTGTGTGTGTGGTTGAAAACAAAGACTGTTTGTGAAACTGTTTCATACCATGACAACACCTCTCTGTCTCAGTGGCACTGCCAATGCAGATTTTAATGTTTGTTAAAGATTTTATAGACCTAGTTGTAATCAAGATCACAACAATTAATTATGCAGCTCTTAAGTTAATGCATCCTCATTGAATAAATATTAATTTCTTTCAAAAAGTATTTTACTGACCCCAAAAGTTTGTTTAAGGCTCTCTGTACCCACTCATAACATTGTTTATAATGGTGGTGGTTCTACAGGTCTGTGGACATGAGCTTATGGCACATAAGGCTGTGCTGGCCTGCTGCAGTCCTTGCCTCTTTGAAATCTTCAATGCAGACTCTGAGCCACAGGGTGGGATTTCACTGGTTAAATTTGATGACCTCAACCCTGATGCTGTGGAGATCTTGCTGAACTATGTCTACACGGCGCAGTACATATATTAACTTGGCATTTAAACTTTTTATTACACAATTATAATGTCAAAGACATACAGGTGACATGTATATCCCCGTGTTCCCCTGTTGACAGACTGAAGGCAGATAAAGATCTGGTCAGAGATGTGTATTCTGCAGCAAAAAAGCTCAAATTGGAGAGAGTCAGACAGGTATGTACAGGCATTTACATGGTCAGAATTTTCTAATGTATAGACTACATTACTGTTCCCTGATATCCTGAATCCTATTCTGCAGATCTGTGGAGACTACCTGCTATCAAAAATGGACTCCCAAAGTGCCATTTCATACCGCAATTTTGCTAGTAGCATGGCTGATGGGCGGCTTCTGGGCAAGATTGATGGCTATATCCAGGATCATCTTCAGGAGATCTCAGAACAGGATGATTTCCTTAAACTTCCTAGACTGAAAGTATGTCTGTCTAAAACCAGTTACTACTAAATGTTTTTTTGCATTTACTTTTTTTTTTTTTTGTATAAATCCATTCATAACTTTGTCTATATAGCTGGAGGTGATGCTAGAGGAGAACCTGAACTTGCCTGGTAATGGCAAACTGTACTCAAAGGTGATAAGCTGGGTGCAACGCAGCCTGTGGAAAAATGGATATCCCCTGGAGAAACTAATGGAAGAGGTCAGTATTATGGCTTTATATGTACCCTTTCCTTTCACTTTGCTCATGTTTCCTGAATTTCTGTTCAAAGGTTGATTCAGGTCCCCCCCCTTCCCCTGTCCCCAAAGTTTTGCCCTTAACCTTGTAAATTTTGCAGTACGTGCTCCTCAAAATACTGAAAAACTGAACGGTTTTCCAGGTGAGCCGAACAAACTATGTTCAGTCTGATCTTCCCCCTTTCGCTTTCGTTCCCTTGACTGTATTGACTTTGTGACTTAACGTTTTCTCCCCAACAGGTTATTTTGAAATATTATTAATTTGATTCTAATTGCTGGTCCTCCCCATTGATCTCCCCATATCTCCTGTAGGTTTAGTATACACACCAACAGCAGATTTGTCCAGCCCTGAAGAAGAATGCAAGATCCCAACCATCAGTGGTACTATGTCAACCTACCAAAAGCCATGTGCTCCCATGTGTGCAGTGTTCCTGAGAGCGTTGCAGCTTTTTTTCCAATCCCACTGTGCAGCGATCATTTATTTAGATAGCTCTTTGACCCAAAGTGAAGTAACTTATTGTAGGAACGATCTCTCCTTCCAGCAGTTTCCACAATAACAGTGACATGCGAAAGGTCATTGCTCCCTCAAGGTCCTGGCAGCACACGGTTATCAAGGGCCTCCCTCATAGCAGCTGACTCTACTGCTTCAAGGAACATGGCAGAACATTGCTTTGTTCTTGTTATGGAAACACCCACATGGGTCTTGTTGGTGTTTTGTTGTTGCAGGTGCAAACGCTGTACTACTCAGCAGATCACAAATTACATGATGGGAGCCTGCTTGAGGGGCATGCAGAGGTCTGCAGCTCTGAGGATGACCACATCCAGTTTGTGCAGGTACATGACTGGTTTTCAGCCCTCCCCTTCCAGTGTGCTGCCTTCTCTGCTTTAAAATAGCATGGCTGCCATTTGATGTGTCAGGTGGTTTGCACTAAAAGGCAGACTAGTAAACCACTATATAGAAGACCCCTTAAATGGTGGTATTTATTGGCACTGGATGGAATGGGTTTAAGCTTTGGCCCCAAGTCTGTATACATGCAGTAGTGGTAGGGGTGAAGTTTGGGCAGGTTTAGAGCTGCCTGGTTTGGTTTTGCAGAAGAAGCCTCCTCGAGAGAGAGACGAGATGATCTCAGGTGCCTCTGGCAGCCTCTCTCCCTCCATCAGCCAGTTCAACAAGCACGAATGGAAGTACATTGCATCAGAGAAGACAACCAGTAAGTCTATAGTGCTTCCACCTATCTCTTTTCTTAAACTTTCATGCTAGAAAATTCCATAGCTGTTAATGCAGAGTCCCTATGGTTGTGTTTTCTGGATCAGGAAATTAAGTTAAGCATGATTTCCATGCTTAAAGTGATCCATTTCTATGGTGGAATTTTTATTTTTACTCTGCTGTCTGCTATAAAATTTCCAGTTTGTGAATAATTTTTTATTATTATTATTTTTAAAATCCATTCTCGTAGTCCATACATATATTATTAATAATCCTAGATTTTAGTGAGAACCCAGGAGTTTTTAGTGTTTAACTTGGATGTCTTTTGCAGACAATGCATACCTGTGTCTGGCTGTTCTGAGAGGCATACTGTGTGTGATCTCCCTGCATGGCCGCACTAGTCCTCATACTTCCCCATCTGCTACACCGTGTGTGCTTAAGAGCCCAAGCTTCGAGACTCAACCAGAAGATCTGCAGGAGAAGCTTTTAAAGCCCATGCATTACGCTCGCTCAGGCCTGGGAACTGCTGAACTGGACTGCAAGCTCATTGCTGCAGGTATGTAATCCTTAGTCACCCTGTAATAAATTATTTTATCCCCAAAACTCGTTTGATCACCAAAATGATATATTTAAAAGGTTTTTCCTGTGAGAAATTTCTTCATGCACACGTCTTTAAAGGAAACAAAACCAATTGCATTTTTAGACTTTTGACTCCCATTTAGCTTCCAGTGAGATTGCTATTTCTCAGCTCTCTTCAACATGCTTTTAAGCATTTATAATTTTACATTTTTAAATCTATTTTTCCCCCCTTTTTATTATCAGAGCAGAACATGCACAGATGTCATGTGAACTATATTTAATGTCATTCATGCAAACAATTGTTGATGGTCAATAGTGGTGGAGCTGGATGAGAACAAATACAAAAACAAAAGAACCACATTGCAGCATGACAACAAATTATCATTGATGGAAACAGGAATTGGTCATAGGTTTGTGAAGATGTGATGTACATATTATCTGTCCAGGTGGCTACAACCGAGAAGAGTGCTTGAGGACAGTGGAGTGTTATGACCCAAAGAAAGACTGCTGGAGTTTCATTGCTCCTATGCGCACTCCACGGGCTCGTTTCCAGATGGCTGTGCTAATGGTAAAGACCGTGCATGGTTTCCAATCCTAAAGTAGCATTGCTGGAGCTGCCATTAGAGCTGAATGAATGGTTATTCTCTCAGGGCGAGCTGTATGTGATGGGTGGCTCCAACGGTCACTCAGATGAGTTGAGCTGTGGAGAGATGTACAACCCCAAGACTGATGAGTGGATTCAAGTTCCTGAGCTCCGCACCAACCGTTGCAATGCAGGTATGCATCACTTACTGCTGGACAATACAGTGAATATTTGTAATGGATGAGCTTTTTTTTTTTCTCTCATCCTAAGACCATGTCATTGTACTGCTTTGTCTGATTGAAAATTCTATATCAAATTAAGATTATAAATCAAAATTATTTAATTTCGGAGTTACATTAGAGTTCAAAACTCTTTCAAAACATTTTTGAAAGAAGTATGTTATGCTCAAAAATGTTAAATGCAGTAAAATAAAAATCAGCATCATTACTCTAGTAATCATTTTAACATGCAGATTTGGTGCTCAAGAACTTGCATTGAAACTATATTGAAACTGATATACACTTTTTTTTTTTCAGGATTCTTCAATGTTCACCCGAATGGCATTTATTTGAAATAGAAATCTTTTGTAACATTATAATCTTTTAGTGTCACTTGAGATCAGTTTAATGGGGAAAAAAAACTTATTACTGACCCTACATTTTTTTTTATGATGTTTGATTCATTTCTTTGACAATTTCAAAATATCGGTTTCAGTGAATCATCAAAACTGATGTTGTTTGCTTTAATATTACTGTACTTTATTATGTTATATTATTGTAGTATAGTAATAAATAACATTTAATATTATGCACTGTTCATTAAAAACAGTGGAAACGTAATTTAAATAGATTGTGTATGCTCTCAAGTAGGGCTGAACGATTAATTGCATTTGCGATAAAATCGCGATATGATGAAACGCGATTTTGTAATCGCAAGAGCTGCGATTACACTGGTCACGTGACACGCGAGAGAAAAGCAGTCTGCAAGATAAAGCATCAACTTGCCACGCTACGCGGTCTGGCGTTCAGAAAAGAACAGTCTATTGTGTTATTTATTCTCTCCTCAACAATCCTGGATCGATTCAGAGAATTTCAGAATCGAGTATGAGCTTAGTTTTTAAACACAGATGCGTGATGACGCTGCGCGTGCTTTAGAAACGAACCGTGTTCTGAATCTGCTTGCTTCTATTTTCTCGCTCTCTCTCTTCCTCACTCACACACACACACACACGACACCGCTCGAACCTTCCAAAACATAGTAACGTTATTTCATAAAGTTCGGGATTGAACCGAATTACATGGACATTCGCGGGCTTCATTGAACAGGTTTTGCCGCTTTGCTTGATGTTATAACGTTACACTTGCAGTGCGCGTTCTCTCCCGCGGGAATTTTCTTTACAAATGCTTCACAGAGGCATTATTTATGTCTTTTGGAATGCAGTTGGCTTATATATTAAAACCATGAAAATCACTGAGAAGGCTGCTTTCATTTTAAAATACTAACGCGTGCTTTGTGAAGAGCGCTCGTGCATGCGGCTGTGAGTGACTCATTGGTAAATGTACTTGCATGTCAAAATGCTTTTATGATGCGAAATTGATGTAAACACGGTCAGTTATATCTTAAACCAACAGGACAAACCACATTTACAATTTCAAAAGAGATATATATGCATTAGTGTGAATGCAGCTTATCGTATCTAAACTGAGGGGAAATCACTCCAGCTCTTGAATGAAAAACATTCAGACAGCCTACTTTTAAATACTGAGAGTACTCTTTGTTTATTGCTTGTAATGTTTTTTTTGTTTCTCTTTATTTACTAGCTTTTATATTTTTAAGCTATATTATTTTATATAGCCTATTTAAAATTCTTAACATGTAATTGGTTTAATTAAATGTTTTTTTATATTTATTTTTTATGTGTTTTTACACATGTAATTAAATACATATTTTAAGAGTTATTAATATTAATTAATAAGAAAAAAAAGTAGATCGGATCATGAGCTACCTAAAGATTCCCATCCATACTGTACAATGATTTATTGCTTGTCTTTGTCGACTAATACAGAAGGTAAATAACTTTTTTTTTTAAATCACATATTAAATCGCAATCGCAATATTGGTTAAAAAAATCGCAATTAGATTATTTTCCAAAATCGTTCAGCCCTACTCTCAAGACTGAAAAAACAACGTAATTTTAAACTACAATATCATCATAACTAGTAGGGACATATCAAACAGGAGGTGTTCTGATTAAGGGGTAAATTATAATTGCTTTTCTTGTTTCTTCTTAGGTGTGTGTTTCTTGCAAAACAAGCTTTTCGTGGTGGGTGGATCTGATCCCTGTGGCCGAAAGGGCTTGAGGAATTGTGACTCCTTTGACCCAGTGACTAAAATGTGGACCAGCTGTGCACCCCTCAACATAAGTATGTCAATTCACTTTTATGTTCTGAAATGTTCGGAATGTAACGAAGTACAAATACTTTGTTACTTTACTTAAGTACATTTTTCACGTATCTTTACTTAACTTCAGTAGAATAAATAGTAGGGGTGGTTAATCTGTCTGATTTCCCGATACGATTCGATTACGATTATTGAACTCCCGATCCGATTACAGTCGATTTTCGATTATTAACGATTCTCGATTACCGATTATTGATTTTCCATTTCACAACAGTAAACGAAAATACACTAGACCAACATATGATTATATTAGCAGCAGCAACATTTTGGTATTAATTGCACTTTTTATTTGTTTTTATTTGTTTTATTTTATATATTCTTACTATTCTACTTTAAAAAAAATTTTCAAAAGCAATTTTGTTGCATTATAATGCAAATGCACCTGGTTCTATTAATTGACAGCATTAAAATGTATTTTGTGATTTCCTTCAATTGAAAATATTTGAAGCAAGTTTGGGGGACTTGAAGGGCACCCGATTCAGAGAATCACCGAGAAATTCAAAAGAACAGCATTTATCTGAAATAGAAAGCTTTTGTAACATTAAACAATACCGTTCAAATGTTTGGAGTCGGTAAGAATTTTTATTTAATTTTTTGGGCAAAAGAAAAAAGAAATCTATACTTTTATTCATCAAGGATAAATTAAGTTGATCAAAAGTTAAAGTACAAGACATTTATAATGTTACAAATCGATTATCTGAATCTTTTGTGTGTGACTATAAATAATTTGCTTTAAAAGTACAAAGTAATGACCCATAAAGAATTAATGCACAATATATTTTATTAACATTACAAAGAACGACCAGGAAAATAAATGTGTGCTTGAACTAGGAGCGTACTTGTAGTAAATAAATAATATAACGACTGGTGCAGCCGAGTGTTTTTCCTCCTCTGGCTGGAAAGGTGTCATATGGCTTATCATATTTGTCGTGTTTCCGTCGTTGGTTTTATTCCACAAAGCGTACAACTAGTGCGGCTCTTGTCCAGCTCCTTTCCCCCTTCAACTTCAGAAGCCAAAATATTTCCACACGTCAGCTTTTAACCTAACAAGGAAGGTGTTTGGATCTCGCGTGCCATCTCATCTCTGTTATGTGCACGCCACAGTCAGACGGTCCGGCCACTGCACTTCCGCGCTTCAGAGTTCCGTCTTTCGCGTTCCGTCAATATTCCGTTATTATAAATACATATAAAAACAAATTTTTTTGAAATCGATTTTTTGACATTTGTGAATCGATTCAGGATCGTCCACGTCCGCATCGCGATGCATCGAGAATCGATTTTTTTTCCCCCACCCCTAATAAATAGCGCATACTTTTTACTTTTACTTCGTTACATTTTGCAGCAATTATTATACTTTCTACTCCACTACATTTCTACAACTTCTGTTACATTTTCTGATCAGTTTTTCCCCTGCCAAAACGTAATCTGACCGTCCGTCCGTTGCACGTTTGTCTCACCAGTGACGTGTGGTTGCCATAGAGCCTCCATTTTTGCACTCAGGTCTAAGTCCCATGGCCCAAATTTTGAGTTTCTCTGATCTTCTCAAAACTCTGGATTCTGATAGAGGGCCATGAGACTTAGACCTGAGTGCAAAAATGGAGGCTCTAGACCCTTCCAGAGCTGAGATATCGAAACTCAAAATTTCGACCCGAAAATAAAACGACAGTGTTACCCCTTACGTTTTTTTTTTGGGGGCGAAAAATTAAGTATTAATTAAGTAAAAATTAAGAGACTTTGAGTGCAAAAATGGAGGCTCTAGACCCTTCCAGAGCTGAGATATCGGAATTACCCCTTTCGTTTTTTTTTTCATTTTCGGGCGAAAAATTAAGTTTCTCCAATCTACTCAAAACTCTGGATTATGATAGAGGGCTGTGAGACTTTGACCTCAGTGCAAAAATGGAGGCTCTACACCCTTCCAGAGCTGAGATATCAAAATTTAAAATTTCAACCCGAAAAAAAAAAACGACAGTGTTACCCCTTTCATTTTTTTTCGTTTTCGGGCGAAAAATTAAGTTTCTCCAATCTTCTCAAAACTCTGGATTATGATAGAGGGCCACGAGACTTTGACCCGAGTGCAAAAATGGAGGCTCTAGACCCTTCCAGAGCTGAGATATCGAAATTTAAAATTTCAACCCGAAAAAAAAAAACGACAGTGTTACCCCTTACGTTTTTTTTGGGGGGTGAAAAATTAAGTATCTTCAATCTTCTCAAAACTCTGGATTCTGATAGAGGGCCATGAGACTTAGACCTGAGTGCAAACATGGAGGCTGTAGACCCTTCCAGAGCTGAGATATCGAAACTCAAAATTTCGACCCGAAAAAAAAACGACAGTGTTACCCCTTTCGTTTTTTTTCGTTTTCGGGCGAAAAATTAAGTTTCTCCAATCTTCTAAAAACTCTGGATTATGATAGAGGGCCACGAGACTTTGACCCGAGTGCAAAAATGGAGGCTCTAGAGTCTAGACCCTTCCAGAGCTGAGATATCGAAATTCAAAATTTCGCCCCGAAAAAAAAACGACAGTGTTACCCCTTTCGTTTTTTTTTCATTTTCGGGCGAAAAATTAAGTTTCTCCAATCTACTCAAAACTCTGGATTATGATAGAGGGCCACGAGACTTTGACCCGAGTGAAAAAATGGAGGCTCTAGACCCTTCCAGAGCTGAGATATCGAAATTCAAAATTTCGCACCGAAAAAAAAAACGACAGTGTTACCCCTTTCGTTTTTTTTCATTTTCGGGCGAAAAATTAAGTTTCTACAATCTTCTCAAAACTCTGGATTATGATAGAGGGCTGTGAGACTTTGACCCGAGTGCAAAAATGGAGGCTCTAGCCCCTTCCAGAGCTGAGATATCGAAACTCAAAATTTCGACCCAAAAAAAAAACGACAGTGTTACCCCTTTCGTTTTTTTTTCATTTTCGGGCGAAAAATTAAGTTTCTCCAATCTACTCAAAACTCTGGATTATGATAGAGGGCTGTGAGACTTTGACCCGAGTGCAAAAATGGAGGCTCTAGACCCTTCCAGAGCTGAGATATCGAAACTCAAAATTTCGACCCGAAAAAAAACCGACAGTGTTACCCCTTTCGTTTTTTTTTCATTTTCGGGCGAAAAATTAAGTTTCTCCAATCTTCTCAAAACTCTGGATTATGATAGAGGGCCACGAGACTTTGACCCGAGTGCAAAAATGGAGGCTCTAGACCCTTCCAGAGCTGAGATATCGAAATTCAAAATTTCGCCCCGAAAAAAAAACGACAGTGTTACCCCTTTTGTTTTTTGTCATTTTCGGGCAAAAAATTAAGTTTCTACAATCTTCTCAAAACTCTGGATTATGATAGAGGGCTGTGAGACTTTGACCTGAGTGCAAAAATGGAGGCTCTAGACCCTTCCAGAGCTGAGATATCGAAACTCAAAATTTCGACCCGAAAAAAAAAACGACAGTGTTACCCCTTTCGTTTTTTTTTCATTTTCGGGCGAAAAATTAAGTTTCTCCAATCTTCTCAAAACTCTGGATTATGATAGAGGGCTGTGAGACTTTGACCTGAGTGCAAAAATGGAGGCTCTAGACCCTTCCAGAGCTGAGATATCGAAATTCAAAATTTCGCCCCGAAAAAAAAAAAAAACAGTGTTACCCCTTTCGTTTTTTTTTCATTTTCGGGCGAAAAATTAAGTTTCTACAATCTTCTCAAAACTCTGGATTATGATAGAGGGCTGTGAGACTTTGACCTGAGTGCAAGACCCTTCCAGAGCTGAGATATCGAAACTCAAAATTTCGACCCGAAAAAAAAACGACAGTGGTACCCCTTTCGTTTTTTTTCCTTTTCGGGCGAAAAATTAAGTTTCTCCAATCTTCTCAAAACTCTGGATTATGATAGAGGGCCACGAGACTTTGACCCGAGTGCAAAAAATGGAGGCTCTAGACCCTTCCAGAGCTGAGATATCGAAACTCAAAATTTCGCCCCGAAAAAAAACGACAGTGTTACCCCTTTCGTTTTTTTCATTTTCGGGCGAAAAATTAAGTTTCTCCAATCTTCTCAAAACTCTGGATTATGATAGAGGGCTGTGAGACTTTGACCTGAGTGCAAAAATGGAGGCTCTAGACCCTTCCAGAGCTGAGATATCGAAACTCAAAATTTCGACCCGAAAAAAAAAACGACAGTGTTACCCCTTTCGTTTTTTTTCCTTTTCGGGCGAAAAATTAAGTTTCTCCAATCTTCTCAAAACTCTGGATTATGATAGAGGGCCACGAGACTTTGACCTGAGTGCAAAAATGGAGGCTCTAGACCCTTCCAGAGCTGAGATATCGAAACTCAAAATTTCGACCCGAAAAAAAAACGACAGTGTTACCCCTTTCGTTTTTTTCATTTTCGGGCGAAAAATTAAGTTTCTCCAATCTTCTCAAAACTCTGGATTATGATAGAGGGCTGTGAGACTTTGACCTGAGTGCAAAAATGGAGGCTCTAGACCCTTCCAGAGCTGAGATATCAAAATTCAAAATTTCGACCCGAAAAAAAAACGACAGTGTTACCCCTTTCGTTTTTTTTTGGGGGCGAAAAATTAAGTTTCTCCAATCTTCTCAAAACTCTGGATTCTGATAGAGGGCCATGAGACTTAGACCTGAGTGCAAAAATGGAGGCTCTAGACCCTTCCAGAGCTGAGATATCGAAACTCAAAATTTCGACCCGAAAAAAAAAACGACAGTGTTACCCCTTTCGTTTTTTTTCGTTTTCGGGCGAAAAATTAAGTTTCTCCAATCTTCTCAAAACTCTGGATTATGATAGAGGGCCACGAGACTTTGACCTGAGTGCAAAAATGGAGGCTCTAGACCCTTCCAGAGCTGAGATATCGAAATTCAAAATTTCGACCCGAAAAAAAAACGACAGTGTTACCCCTTTCGTTTTTTTTCATTTTCGGGCGAAAAATTAAGTTTCTCCAATCTTCTCAAAACTCTGGATTATGATAGAGGGCT